GGCACTGCACATAGTAGGTGCTCAGTATTTGCAGAATAAGGAGGTGTGGGGCTCCGGTCCTGCCTGTCTGTCAGAGGCTGGTTCAGCCCCACTTTGACTACCTGCCAGCCATGACTGTGGGCGAGTGCTGCCAATGCTCATGCTGGTGACAATGGCTCTGCTATGCCTCTCCCAAAGGCCACTTGGTGAAGGAGTGAAGGCACCTGATGGCTAGCTTGGGAGGGAGGGCTCAGTTGGCCCTGGATTGGGCTTGGACCTGGGTTCAAGGTTTAGAGAAGCAGTGTGGTAGGCAGGTGGGCAGAAGGTAACCACCCTGCTTTCCTGGTGACAGGTCAATGGTTCCAGGCCTCTTGGACTCCTCCTGACCCCATCTGCTTTTCTTCAGGTCAATCTAACAGAGATGCCCAGGGACACATAGGAGCTGTGTTCATTCAAGTGGTACTGGAGATTGAAACCAGGGGTGCGTAACCATTGAGCCCTTTTTATTTTGAGACAAGCTGTCACTATGTTGCTTAAAGCCTTCCTAAGTTGTTGAGGCTAGCCTTGAACTTGAGATCCTCCTGCCTCAGCCTCCTGAGCTGCAGGGATTCCAGGCATGTGCTACTGTGCCTGGCAGATTTAATAGAATGGATACACCTGAAAAAAACCACCCACAACCATATACCCTATTCCCATCACCTCCAAATTTCTTCGTGCTTCTATGCAGTCCCCCTCCACCTCCAGGCCCAGGCCACCACTGACCTGCCTTGGGTCACTCTGAGTTCATTTCGTCTCTTCTGGAATTTTACATTAATGCAAGCATAGAGCATGTAGCTTTCAGCGTCTGGCTTCTCTTCCTGGGTGTGATGCTCTGGGGACCTCCCCTGTTCTTGGACATAACAGTGGTTCATCCTCTGCTTGTTGCTGAGGGGTGTCCCATTGCCTGATGCACTCAGCTTGTATTCGCTCACCTGTTGACAGACAGCTGGGGCTTTACAGGTGTGGGCTGTATGCAGAAAGGTGCATTTTGTATATGAGCCACCACTTTTCTTTTTTTCTTTTTTGGTACTAAGGATGGAACCCAAGGGCACTTTACCACTGAGTCACATCCCCAGTCCTTTTTATTTGGAGACAGGATCTCACTAGGGAACCCTGGCTGGCCTCGAACTTGTGATCTTCCTGCCTCAGCCTCCTGAGTTGCTGGAAATATAGTTGTGCACCACTGAGCCCTGCTAAGTCACTGTTTTTTAAAGGAAATATTTTGTGATGTCCAAGGATGAAACACAACATGTTTACTGCTTGACAAAAACATTAGTCTACCCAGCAGTTTCAGGGACACGGGCCCTGCTTCTCTCCCGCTATGCCCAGTGAGAACCTGAGGCAGCTGGGTCAGAGGGAGTTCCTGGAGTCTCCAGGGAGAACCAGGAGGATACCAACAGCTGGGTTTCATGGTGGGGCCATTTACCAATGGGTCACTAATCCATGAATTAATGTCAGCCATGAGCATGACTACCCCAGAGTGGGTGCTGGTTCTAGTGCAGGTTCTCTGTAAACTCTGTTTTCCTGAAATGAAGTTCATAGATAACATAATCCACTGCTAATGATCCTTATCCAGTCATGGCAGCCTGTGCCTGTAGCCCAGTTTCTCTGGAGGCTGAGCAGAAGAAACACTTGAGTTCAGGAGTTCAAGGCCAGCCTGAGCAACATAGAGACCTATCTTAAAAAAGAATCCTTAGTTGAGGGGTGTAGCTTAGTATGTGCAAGGCCCTGGGTTTCATCCCCAGCAATTAAAAAAATCCTTTACTGTCCTATCTGTAATAAAGAGAGAGAAAAGGAGAATGATTTATAATATGTATCTCCACATCTCCAGAACCCAGGGAGGTAGCCAGACATTTACACCAGTAGTTGGCAGTTCCTAACGTGGTGGAGACGCGCTTTATTGGTGTCTAATTACCAAGAACCATGGTCAATTAGATTTTCTGATCTGGTAGATAATCCTTGGCCAAGTTTCTAACAAAACATGATAGAAGCTTCCTTCATTTTACACGGTAGTTGCTCTTCCTGGAAAATTCAGAGTCTGTTAAAGACTCACAAAAGAGACTGTGTTTACCAGAAAGAGTTTGATTCAGGGCTCAGATAAGTATTACCAGAGTTTTCACCTCCAAGTGAGGTTAAAATTTAGTTTGTCTACACTAGCATGCATATCCTTGTTGTTAAACTATTGAAATATTCTGGGCTGGGGTTTTGGTTCAGTGATAGAGAGCTCGAAAGTGTGCAAAAAGCACTGGGTTCGATCCTCAGCACCACATAAAAAATAAAATAAAGGTATTGTGTTCACCTACAACTAAAAAAAAAAATTTTGTTAGGGTCTGTAAACAAGTCAAGATGGTGCCTGGCATTTTGCCAGGGGAAGTGGTTTGTGAAGTAACGCCAGCGAGCCATTAAGTGTGGAGATTCCTTATTGGTTGACTGCTGTATCTAGTTTATGTTAATTAAGATAAGCTGTGTGTAATGTATATATACCCCTCCTGTCCTACAATAAACAGCTCCTACTCCTGCTGTATCAATGTACACAAGTTGTTCGTCACCCCCCCTGGTTATTTTGCTGCAGCCGGACTGTGGCAATTTTAAATGACATTAAAAATATTGAAATATTCTATTCTGGCTGATTAATAATAACAAAAATGAATGAGAGAGCAGTGACTTTCTTTTGTGTTGCTGAAGCTGGATTTGAACTTGAGATCCTCCTGTCTTAGCCTCCTGAGCTGCTGGGATTTCAGGTGTATACACCATGCCCTGCTGAGAACAGTGAATTTATATAGTTCATATTCTAGGCTCATTAGTTCATGTTAATTGTTGTGATGGGTTTTCTGTCCTATAATAATTTAGTTGATATTAAAGATGTTGAATACATAAAACCATCAGACAGTATAAGACCTAGAAAAGTTTTTTAATTTCTATGCTGTTAGTTCAGGAACAGTGATAATCGGAGAAAACCAAAAACACTATGGTTACTACTGAGAAGTCATTTGTTTATTGAGACCTCAAGTCACCTGATGATCCCCATTTAACGGGAAGCTGCTGGAACATCTGATGTGGTTCTCTGTGTCAAATCACACGAAGGCAAAGTTGTCACTATAAACAGTGATAGCTTTGTTCATCAAGAAATCACACCAACAATTTCTAAATAAAACAAAATCATTTGAGAATGATTTTAATTTCAACTTAATTCTTTAGTAAGCAATCTAAAGAAAGATGCATATATAGATCAACTGCTTGGAATATTTAGAAGATAAAATATTTAAAAATTTGATGCTGGGCCCAGTGGCACATGCTTGCAAACCCAATGACTCAGGAGGCTCAGACAGGAGAATTGTGAGTTCAAAGCCAGCCTCAACAAAAGTAAGGTGCTAATCAACTCTACAAAATAGGGCTGGGGGATGTGGCTCAGTGGTCAAGTGCCCCTCAGTTCAATTCCCGGTACCCACCCCCAACAAAAATGTAAAAAAAAAAAAAAAGAAAGAATTGATGCGCCTATATGTTTATATCATTGAACTAGTTGACCAGCTGCAATCCCCCTCCCCCACCAGTACTGGAGACTCTGCCCAGGCGACTCTCCCACTGAGCCACATCCCCAGCCCTGTTTATCTTTTTGAGACAGGGTCTCACTAAATTGCTGAGACTGGCCAAAACTTGTGATCCTCCTGCCCCAGCCTTCCATGTCAATGGGATTACAGGTCTGCATATCATGCCCAGCTCAGCTGCAACACATTTTAAATATGGTCTTTCCCTCTTGAGCATCACTGGGACATATGAAAACTTCGGGAGGCAGGGCTGCTGCTTTACTGTGTGGTGGTGTCCCGCAGACCTGCAGAGGCCCCTCGGCTCAGGCCCTGCTTGCCAGGAGCCAGGAGTCATGTAATAACCTACATCCCTTCCGTTTCCAAAATGTTCCATATTCTTTGGGAACCATTGTGGGTTCAGTGGTTGAAGGTAGAGGCTAGGTGCAGGAAGTCAGGCTTTGGACGTCTGAGACTGGGCCACACGCTTGTCTCCATTTCCTGGTCTGTGAAGCGCCCCCCACCCACCCCTGCCATTTCTATGTTATGATGAACCCAGCCTAATTCCATTTTAAGATTGGGAGCAATCCCATCACAAAGTCATGAAAAGTTAATTTCTGTTTTACTATAAATTACTGAGATTTCTAAACCTGTTTGGAATTCCTGCCCGTGCTCTGAACTCACCATACCTGGCTCCCCTTGACCAGATAACAACCCTCTCTGAAACCTCAGTGGAGCCTCATAAATTCTGATGTTGGGATCTGAATTTACTCCTTATCTTGAAATATCATGCCATGTAGATCATTAACCTGCTGTCTGCCTTTGTATTATGCTTGTCAAAATCCTGTTAGCTGTAAGTTCTCAAGACACCCCTCCTTTGCAACTTTTTGTGCTTTAAAACCTGGTTCCTGGAGAGCTGGGGGCTGATCTGTAGCCCGGCTTAGGGAGAGACCGTGCTGGCCAGCTTTCTTTGTGTGAACAATATAAGCTTGCTTTAATTTAAAATTGGAGTCGGTGGCCTTTTCTTTGCAGTGAATTGCCTAAGAGCCACAGGACAATAGGTGGCCACACGAGGATTCACGCCTGGTCCTGATGTGGAGCGCTTCCCCTCTGAAGTACTTCACAGCGGCCCAGAGGCTGAGTGCTCTCACTGTCCCACTTCCCAGATACACGGCAAGGGTTCAAGTTCATACTGGGAGGAAGTGGCAGTGGTTTGAAGCTAGGCCTCTGCCACCTTGGAGCCTGTGCTTTTTTTTGAGCTGGGGTCTCACCATGTCGCTCAGGCTGGTCCTAAACTCTTGGGCTCAAGTGATCCTCCTGGCTCAGCCTCTCTAGTAGCTGGGACTACAGGCATATGCCACCATGCCGGGATTCCTGTGTTTTTTTTGTTTGTTTCAAAGCACACTTAGGAGGTGTGCCAAGCAAGTCATTAGGATACAGCAAGAAAACATAACACCCCCATTCATATTCATTCTTTATTTTTAAATGGAATAATTTAATTAAGCCTTATTAGTAATATACAGACTGATAGTAGTACTTGTACATAATTTATAAATAAATACACATATCCTGGAGTACATGCCCAAACACTGCAGACTTTGAGATGCGTGATGGAAAAGGAAGGCTTAGCAGGTTACTCCTAAGTGGCATGGGACCCTCATGTCCCTCTGGGTTGCTGTTTCTAGAGGGGTCATCCTGAGAGAGTCAAGTATGAGCTCTGGGGCCTGCTGGCCTGGGTTCAAGTCTCTAGTCTGCTACTCCCTAAGTTGTCTGACCTTCGGTCAGTGACTTCACCACTCTCACCTCAGTTTTCCTCACAGCAAAATGGACATAATAGCAGCAGTGGCTTTAGGTGGGTGAGGGATAAAGCTGAGGGATAAATCAGTCCATGTAAACACTGAGAACAATGCCTGGCTCCATAAACCTGATTACTGTTCACCCCTTGTGGGAAGTGGGGAAACAGGTGCAGAGTTGAGATACCGAGGTAATGAGCAGAGCCGGATCCAGAGCTCTCAGCCTGTTTCCTCCTTGTCAAGATGGGATTAAGAGCAGCACGCACCTTACTGGCTGACCCAGAGGAAAGAATCACATTCCCGGAGAAGGGGAGATCGTCATTGCTGTCCCACCTCCCACAGGGCCTCTTAGAGAACAGCAAAGGCTCAAGAGATGGGTGTGTGATGGCTTTGCAACAGGCACTGGGCTCAAGGACGCCCCGGCATCCACAGGAGGCCACCAGGAGCGGGACAGACGCGCCCTCTAGTGCAGGAAGCAACCCCAGCAGACAAGGATCCTGAGGGCTCCTGTTAAGACACCCAATCCAGGCACTTGGAATCCTGCAGGATCCTGAAGCAGACGATGCCCCACTCGCCCAGGCCCAATGCGGAGGTGACAGAGCCGGGATTTGAGCTCGCCAGTCTTTCCCCAGACCCGACTCTCCATCCCTCTTTTTCGAACTCTCCCAGCCCCGTGGCGCAGGGCTCTTGGAATCTGGCTCAGCACTTCTCTGGACCAGGCCCTGAGGGACAGACTGGCATCTCTGGGCCTGTCTACCAAATGCCAGTAGCTCCTTCAATTACTGAAATGGCCCGGGATATTCCCACACATATCCAAAGCTCAGTGGGCAGGACTGTATGACAACTTCTGGGCGTAGCTTTGGGCGCTTGGCCTGGGTCTCTCCCTGCCACAGGCAGGCTTCTCTTGTGCGCTTCCTCGCGTTTCTTTCTCGGTCAGTTCACCTGTCCCTTCTCCGGAACGTGCCCTCCCTCATTGTCAATCTAAGCTTCTCCACATCCAGACAGAACCCCCCCAAACAAAGGACATCTCTTCTGTCGTAATGTTCCCCAGACACCAGGTGAGGGCGTCAGGACTTCAGCCGCCTGTCAAGCTCAGGAGTGCGGGGTTGGGGTACTCAGGGTTCTCAATGACTCCAGGGCCGAACTTGAGCTCCAGGAAGCGGCGGTAGTTATTAGGTGCCTGCGCCACAAAGCCGGCAAAGGGCAGGGGCACCAGAGGCTGCAGAAAGTGCTCAGGGAACTCGACATCCTGCCGGTGGTCCAGCCAGGTGTCCTTGGTCATGACCCCGTTGCGGGGGTAGAAGGGCCACAGATCTACATGCAGGTGGTTGCTCTCACTATACTGCACGCGGAAGAAGTCGCCTTCTATGGCCTTCTCCCACACGAAGCCGCGCTCATCCACCACGGAGCCAGCCTCAGCCCCCCGCAGCTGCTCGCAGTTGCCCACATCCTCCAAGTAGATGCCCAGGTCCACATCGTAGTCCCACGGGATGATGTCCCCGTGGCGGGCCGCGCCTAGCAGCGAGCCGCCCTCCAGCCAGTAGCGCACGCCGGCCGCCTCGAGCACGCCCACCACGTAGCGCGCCGTCTCGCGGAGCGCGCGCAGGCAGCAGGGAGGCGTCCACCGCTCCTCGTAGAGATAAGCGGGCGTGTCACCCACCACTGTCCCGAAGCAGCGTGTGCTCTCCTTGCTGCAGCCAAACCACTCGAGCCTCCCGCCCTCCCAGCTCACCAGACGGATGCCGAGCGCACGGAGCAGAGACGCTCGTCGCGCGCGCCCCTCGCGCTCCGCCTTCCAGCGCGCGTGTGCTGTGGCCAGCGGGGGCTGGCGCGCCGCCGCGAAGGGCAGATCCAGCAGCTTCACCGCCCACCCTCGAAGGGAGGTCTGCAGGAAGAGGCTGGTGCCCACAGGCCGCGCCAGGGGCGCCGAGAGGTTGAAGAGGTCCCGGGCACGCAGGAGCACCACAGCGTCCCCATCCAGGGCGTCACAACGGGGAGCAGTGGCTGCAGGGCCATAGCGGGCAGTCCACTCTCTCAAGCTGACATTCAGGGTTAGACACCGGGCTGGATTGGCTGTGGAGACAGGGGCCGCTACCAGGCGGGCACTTCCCCCCTTAAGGGCTTCCACCATGCGCTCCAGCTGGCCTGGTGACTCGGCCCGTGCCCCATCAGGCACCAGGGCCACAAACTCGGTGGCCACGTAGGTCTCTGGGCGCGAGGCCGCAGCAGGCCGGTCAAGGGCAGGCTGCAGCAGTGCCAGGCGAACGTTGGGGATGCGGGGCAGGGCCAGGGGTGGGTACGGGAGCGTGTCTGCCGCCACCACCACGGGCTGGGCTGGGTCCTGCTGTAGGAAAGAGTCCACCAGCTCGGGCACCGCGTTGTCAAAGGCCTCAAACTCCCGCACCAAGATGGTGACGCGGGGGCCGGTGGCAGATGCACGGCGGGGCCCCCGGGCCCGAGAGTTCCTGGGCTGGTGCTGCAGCCACGAGAAGTAGAAGAGAACCAGGAGGTTGAGGGTGATGGCGGCTGCCAGCGCAGCCTGACAGCGGGTGAGCCGCATGGGGCCGGAGTTAGGCCCTAGCTGGGCATCCAGGGCGTCCTGGGGAGATGGGATGAAACGGGAGGCTGCAGCTGGTTGTCAGAGGCCCCTCCCTCAATCCTCAGCCTTGCCTTTCTCCCCCAGTTGTCTCAACGACCCCTCGGTGCTGGGGATGGAACCCAGGGCCTCCAGCATGCCAGGCAAGCCTCTGCAGAGCTCCTCCCCGAGAGGCACTGCCCTTCTCCTCCCTACTTGGCTTTCATTCTGACTTCACTTCCTCCAGGAAACCTTCCCTGACCTTCCAGGTGGATTACGCACCTGCCCCAGGCTCCTTGAGCATCCTGGGGTTGTTTCACACCAGCCTGGCCACTCTAAGCCATAAGTGCAAGGCTTTGTCCCTTACTAGATGGGGACACTCAAAGGCAGGACCAGAGGTCACTGCAGGATCCCCAGCATCACTCAGGATGAAGCCATGCTGTGCTTTTTAAAGATTTTTTTTTCCCCAAGTGAATCACTTTACATGTTCATTCTCATCCTTGGCCTATTCTGTCAACTTCTCATTCAGATTCCAAGTCAGTTATAAATACCCTGGCACCATTCCCAGGCCAACTTGCACCTTCCTCTCTACCATTCCTTCCTCCAGGAGGCCGCCCTGATCTCTCCCTCCCGCAGGTGGCCCTGGTTCCAGAGCAGCGCTTAGACAGCAGCCCTCAACAATTCCCCAGCCTCTGCCTTCTGGACCCTTCTCATTTCCTCAAATCCTGTGCCATCCCATCATCTCCTTCCTGATGGTCAGTCAGATCATTTTGGTTCTACAAGAAAAGCCAAAAATGTTTGATTTTTTTTTTTTTAATCAGAATCTCCCCCTCTTTCTTTTTCTTTCTTTCTTTTTTTTTTCAGTACCATGGATTGAACCCAGGGGCGCTTAATCACTGAGCCACATCCTTAGCCCTTTTTATTTTGAGACAGGGTCTCACTAAGTTGCTGAGGATCTTGCTGAAATGCTAAGGCTAGCTTTGAACTTAAGATCCAGCCTCCTGAGCTGCTGGGATTACAAGTGTGTGCCACTGAACCTAGCCCCCTCCCCCTTTCTTTTTTTGTGATGCTGGGAATGGAACCCAGAGCCTCACACATTAGGCAATGCTCTACCACTGAGCTACATCCTCAGCCCCAGAATTATCCCAATTTAAAAATGTTGGTCACTAACTGAATTTAAAAAAAAATGGTGTGGTTGCCAGGGGCAGGGGGCAGGGGGGAGTTGTTTGATGGGTACAGCATTTCAGGGTTGTTTTGTTTCTGTTTTTTGCAGTGCTGGGGACGGAACCCAGGGCCTCAGGCAAGTGATCTGCTACTGAGCTGTACCCACAGTGTTTCAGTTTTACAAGATGCAAAACTCTGGATTTGTTTTCCCAACAATATGAATATATTTAACATCAATGAACTGCACAATTAAAACTGGTTAAAATGGTACACTTTATATTATATGTCTTTTTTAAATTTGCTTACTGGGGATCGAACCCAGTGCCTCACGCATGCTAGGCAAGTGCTCTCTACTGAGCCACAACCCCAGCCCTACTTTATATGTATTTTATAACAATTTAAAATTTTTTAAAAAGTGGAAGGGGCTACATCAAGGGAGGCTGCCAACACAGGAAACAATGTGTCCCTGATCACTGGCCTCCAGATGGTGCTGTCTCCCTCTGCCCACCACAGCTTGGGGATGTCTGCAAGGTGGTGTAACTGGGTAATCCTACCTACAGCTAATCCTACCTCCTAAATACTTTTGACTCCTCCTTCCTATTTCCTCAGCTTCCCCTCAACCCAGGTCCATCTAATTCCCATCCAACCTCCCCTAGGTCTCCTGCCCAAGTCCCCTCTTCTTAGTAGTGAGGTGGTCTTCATAAAGCATGAATGTGACCTCTCCCTCCTTGCTGAGAACTTTCTATGACTCCCTAGTGCCCAGGGGAGAAAGTTAAAATTTCTTACAACATTCCACTTGTGTGTCCACCATACCAGCTTCATTGCCTACTGCACTTCCCGTTCTGGTTTAGATAGGTGGTACCCCCCAAAAGCTCATGTGTGAGACACTGCAACAAAGTTCAGAGGTGCGCTGACTGGGTTCTGAGAGCCTTAACCTAATCAGTGCATTAATCCTGGTAGTGATTATCTGGGTGGTAACTGTAGGCAGGTGGGGTGTGGCTGGAGGAGATGGGTCAATGGGACTTACCCTTGGGGTTTATATTTTTGTCTGTCTGGAGGGGAGCTGTCTCTCTCTGCTTCCTGGTGTGATGGATGTTCTGAGTCGCTTTCCTCCACCATCCGCTTCCACTTTTATGATTTCTGCCTCACCTTAAACCCCAAGGAATTGGAGTTGGCTGTCTATGGACTCAGATCTCTGAAGCTATGAGCACCAAATAATTTTCCTCCTTAAAGTTGTTCTTGTTAGGTTTTTTGGTTACAGCAACGAAAAGCTGACTAGAACACCTCCCTTAAGCTCTGCCTAAGTTACCCAGAATGTTTTCTAAACTGGTCTTATTTCTAAGCAATTCTGTTCCTTCTGTCTGAAAGGGTCTCCTATACCTTATTGCCTTGGGCCTGGGTCCTGCCTGGTCTTTGCACCTTCTCTCTCCACCCATCCCAGTCTTACTTGTCTTTCTTCAATTCAGTTTGGACAGCACTTAAGAATCTGAGTTGTTGTCACACCAGTAATCTCAATGACTTGGGAAGCTGAGGTCGGAGGATTGTAAGTTCAAGGCCAGCCTCAGTAATTTAGAGACTCAGCAACTGAGAGTGCCTCAAGAATTTAACAAGACCATGTCTAAAAATAAGAAAAAGGACTAGGGCAGTAGCTCAGTGGTAAAGGTAAAGCACCCCTATGTACAATCCCCAGTATTGCCCCCTCCACAAGAATCTGAGCTGTACTTCAAGAGTGACTTCTGAGAGCTGGAAGCAGCGGTGCACACCTATAATCCCAGTGACTCACGAGGCTGAGGCAGGAGGATCGCAACTTAGCAAGGCCCTGCCTCAAACTAAAAACTAAAAAGGGCTGAGGATGTGGCTCAGTAATTAAGCACTCCTGAGTTCTAGCCCCAACACATACACACACACAAAGAATGACTTCTGAGCTGGGGATGTAGCTCAGTGGCAAAGCACTTGCCTGGTGTGCACATGAAGCCCTGGGTTCCATCCCCAGCACTGGGGGGAAAAAGAAAGCACTAGGTGCATGCAGTGGGACCTGTAGTCTCAGGCTGAGGTAGGAGGATCACTTGAACCCAGACAGAAGCTCAAGGTCAGCCTTGCAAACATAGCAAAATCCTATCTCAAATAAATAAAGAATAACTTTCCAATTTTAGAACATTGGAATTGCCTCCGGGCCTTAGATTGATCTTTCCCCGTCAATCTTTCAACATCAGTCTGTTGAACTACAATACACCAAATACTGTTCTAGGTACTGTAGCTACAGCCATGGACACACAGAAAATATTCCTGTTCTCATGGAACTTATGTTATTGTGGAGGTGAGAAACTTTGAAACCACAGAATCTTCTGGGCCTGAAAAAAATCTTAAAACTGCCAAGCACAGGGCTGGGGTTGGGGCTCAGTAGTAGAGCACTCACCTAGCACGTGTGAGGTACTGGGTTCGAACCTCAGCACCACAAATAAATAAAATGAAGATATTGTGTTCATTTACAAAAAACAAACAAACAAACAAATAAACAAACAAACAAACCAAAATTGCCGGGCATGATGATGCATGCCTGTAATCCCAGTAATTTAGGAGGTGGAGGCAGGAGGATTGCAAGTTTGAGGTCAGCCTGGGCAACTTAGAGACACGCTGTCTCAAAATAAAATACAAAGGGGTGAGAATGGAGCTCAGTGGCAAAGTGCACCTGGGTTCAACCCCAATACAAAAGCAAAAACAAAACAAATGAGTTTTATTCCGCAGGAGCACAGAAGTGGTCCTTAGATAGTTTCAGAGCCTTCCAATTCTTGATGGTCAGCGAGAGACCATCTTCTTACTTCCATCTTTGTCTCATTGCATTTCCACACTCAGTGCCTAGAGGGATCCTGTTAACACTCAAACTAGATCCTCCCCTGACTGCTTCAACTGTCCCCAACCTTCTCTCTCAAAGGAGAAGTCCAAGCCGTGCATGGTGGCACAGGCCTGTAATCCCAGCGGCTCGGGAGATGGACACAAGAAGATCATGAGTTCCAAGCCAGCCTCAGCAATTTAGCAAGACACTAAGCAACTCAGTGAGACCCTATCTCTAAAGAAAATACAAAACAGGGCTGGAAATGTGGCTCAGTGGTCAAGTGCCCTTGGGTTCAATCTCCAGTACCAAAAAGAAAAAAAAAAAAAAAGAAAAGAAAAAAAAAAAAAAGAAACAAAACCCAGAAGTCCATGTCCTCACAGTTGCCCATGAGGCCCCACACGAGTACCATCCTTTCCTACTTGCTAATTCAGCTCCAGCCACAGAGGCCCCCGAACTCCATTCTTCAAACACACTCGGGATTCTCTAGCTGCCGAACTGCCTCTTACCTGTCTGGATGCTCCTCCCTTGTGGCCTGCAGGTCACCTTCCAATGGCCATCCTATTTAACAAGCATGTCCCTAACACCCACATACTTCCTCTCCCACCCTACCTTAGTTTTCTTCCCTTCTGCTAGCATCTTTATTGTCGGGGTGCCCATGGAAGCCAGGGACCTATTTTGTCCCTGCTCAGTGCCTGGCTTACAGCCTGTGCCCAATAAACATGTGTTGCATGAAGGAGTGACTTCAGTTGTTAAGATGGGGAGCCTGCGGTTCAGAGGTGGGAAGGATGCAGGAAAGGACCCAGGTCCTCCAAGTCCACGTTTTGACTGGCTGACTATGGGCCAGGAGGTGACCAGCAGGGCAGAAGACAGATACTGAGTTCTTAGTGACCTGAGGACTTGATAGCCAAGGAGGAGGTGCTACTTGCTGGGGAGGGTGTGAGGGGAGGACAAAGGGATCATCTAGTATCCCGACTAGGTTGGTCTTGGCTTCACCAACTGTAAAGACCACAGACTCTTCCATGAGGGCAAGGTGGATGACTGGTGACTGTGAAGCCCTGAATGTTCTACATGTTCTGCATCAAGATACAGCAACATCAACGATTTTATCAGCTCACAATGTGTCTGGCCCTGACACTTCCTATGTATTCACTGTTCTAAGCACTTCACTCGTTTAATCCTTATATATGATCACATTTAAGGATGAGTTAACAGGCCTACAGACTTAAAGTCACTTGCTCAAGGTCACACAGACAGGAAATGGTAGACCCAGAATTTGATCCAAGAAGCTGGTCCTAGAGTTATGCTTTAAATCAATAAACTCTTCTGCCTCTCCTGGGGCCGACACACAGCCCAACTCTTGGTATATCTTCAGTAAGCCTTCCCCAGCCCTAATTTGATGTGTCCATGAATATGTGAATACGGCATTGTAATTAATTATTTCAACTCAGTAACTCAATGGATATTTCTTCAGTGCTCTCTCTGTGCCAGACCCCATGTTCTGAGGACCAGGATGGAGGAGGTAGGCATTGGCTCAGGACTGCCTTCCAGATGTGAGAAAACAGACAAAAACCAAATACCTTATAGACAGGCAAAAAACCAGAAGAAGGCATGAGAGGAAAACAGGGAACTTGCCAGAAGGTGGTCAGGGGAGGTGAGAAGAGTGTATTGCTTTCTCCTTTCCACACAAAACATTGTAAGTGTGCTGCTCTCATCTGGTGTGAACCTCCACCCATGCAGCAGGCAGAAAAACTGAGTTCTATGTGGGCAAGCCTTTGGGGATAAGGAAAGGGCAGTTCACGTGAGAGTGCTATGACACTGAGGGACTTCTTACCTCCTAGGTTGCAGGCTGGGGGAGCTCCAGGAGGGTGGTTCCAGCCCGGCTGAGCTGCTCTGCTGAGGAAAGGAGAACCAGAAAACCTCAAGTCAGCCAATTCTGCACAATAGAGCCTAATTTCATACTACCACAAAAGTGGCATCTACAAGGTCAGGGAATCCTTTTTCTTAAAGTCCCATAAGTTTGGGCACCAAATGGGGCATCTCAGGAGAGGGGTGGGGTGGGTGGGAGGGATGACAGTTATAGCAACCTTTAACCATGCCTCTCTCATGAATATGTCCAGAAAAGGTAAGGCTAAAAGTGACAGAAACTGTTACCATGACAACAGTTCTCTAGACACACTCCACCCCCTAGAGACAATTCTGAAAATCCCCTACCTTGTTGGGCCTGGTTCTTAAGGTCACCTGGGTGGGGAGGGGCTGTTACCGTAGCAACAAACACTTGGTCTTTCTAGTTTCTCACATCCTTGGGGATGGTCCAGGCCCTGTAACCATAGCAACTGCCTGGAAACAGCATCTCCTCCTCTAAATAAAAACACCTGGTTGGTTTGATCCATGGACCTCCCAGGATGAGAAGAGGGAGACGGTTACTATGGCAATGCTACCTGGGTGGCTACAAAGGAGGGGTTGGGGAAGAGTTTTTTCTCTTGGACATCAGAGTCCTTAGGGCTGGGGTCCTTTCTACCTGAGTGCTAGGTGAGGGAAGTTGCCACTATAACTGATGTGGGCAAGGGCAGAAGGACCCCCAGGGACATAGGTTACCTTAGCAACCTACTCCTGGGGCTGAGACAGGAGAGGTTTGGAGCTCCATAACCACAAAGGGGAAGGGGAGACTGAGGGCTCCAAGCTGGGGGTTACCACGATAACCCACCTGGCCAGAAATCAGCAGGGGCCACTGCTGAAATCACCCCCGGGGGCCCCCTTCTCTCTCAAAGAGTGAAAGCGATTGTTCAGCGGTGTCCTGGGGTCTGGTTGGGGTACAACCCTCTCTTTGGGGTGAAGGGGGAGGAGCGGAGCAGAAAACTGCCCCTTCCCAAGCCTGCAAGGGCGGACGCCGCGCGGGGACTGGGTCTCCTTTGCCCTCCTCCGGGCGCGCCCCACCGCCCCGCCCCTGCCCTCACCCCCACGCGCACGCGCGCCTTCGGGGTCGACCCGGGTGGGCGAGGCTCGCGCCCGGCCCGGTGCTCGTCACCGCCTCTCCCCGTCCCCCGCCAAGAGCGCGCGCGGGGGGTTGGTGCGGCCGCGCAGGCGCGCGAGGCACAGCGGGCGCGCGGGCCGGCCCCGGGGCCTCCATGATGGAGGAGCGAGCGGCCGCCGCGGTCGCTGCCGCTGCCTCCTCCTGCCGCCCGCTCGGCTCCGCCGCGGGCCCCGGACCGACTGGGGCGGCCCCGGTATCTGGCCCTGCTCCGGGGCCCGGCCAGGCAGGTAAGGGAGGCGGCGGCGGAGGCAGCCCCGGGCCCACGGCGGGTCCGGAGCCCCTGAGCCTGCCCGGGATCCTGCACTTTATCCAGCACGAGTGGGCGCGCTTCGAAGCCGAGAAGGCGCGCTGGGAGGCCGAGCGCGCCGAGTTGCAGGTGAGTGCTGCCCGGGACCCCCGACCCCCCGCCCGGCCCGGCCCGGCCTCACCCGCCGCCGCCGCCGCCGCCATCTTGAAGCAATGGCCGCCGGGACGGCCGGGGGGGCGGGAGGTAGCCGCGACGGTCCCACGGAGCAGGTGGGGGCCCGTCCGAGTGGGGTCCCGAGAGCCCCGGGGCGGTAGGGGCCCGGGACGGCTCGGAGAGGGAGCGGAGGGGCCCGCGGCCGCGATGGACCGACCCTGAGAAAGGGGCGGAGGAAGCCGAGCCGGCTGGAGCGGGAGTGAGCGCACCCGGGCAGGGGCTCCGAGAGGCGGCTCGGGCCGGAGGAAGCTCCCGAGAACTCGGGAAGGGCGCTCAGAGGAGTGGAGGGTTCTGCAAGATCCGAGCGGTCCCGGACCGGAGTGGACAGGAGCTCATAGGGGCCGAGGGATTCCCACCCTCGAGCCCGTCCCCGACCTGCTGCGGGTCGGAGGTTGAGCTGGGTCCCGGGCTCCTGGTGGGATAGCGGGCGCGCCTGGGAGGACGTGGGGCGCGCTGGGCTCGAGAGAGCGGGTCGGGTTGGGGGAGCCAGGAGGAGTGAGGAGAGGAGGTCCGGGAGTCTGGAATGGGGTGTGTTACGGGGCGTTTGGACCCGAGGAACTGAAAGATGGATGTGAGGACGACTCCGGGTTTCGAGAGGAAACTTTAGGGAGCCCCGGCATGTGTGGCAGAGGGCAGGGGAGGGGGTCCCGGGGTGGAAGTGTGGACAGGGTAGAGGATGTACCCTAGGAACAGTGTGGGGTGCTTGAGAGTGGGGGGGGAGCACCAGTTTGGGGGTTTGGAGGAGTGGGAGTGATGGCCCTGACACGGGAGGTGTGTGTAGGATGTCAGGTAAAGAGCCCTGAACTGGAGTGGGACGGTTTCTGCCGGGAGAAGAGGGCCTGGGATGGGAACAATGAAAGGGAATGGAGGTGCCCAGGGTGATGCTTTAGGGGAGCATTTTGTAGAGCAGGATGGTGTCTGTGGAAGATCCGGAGATGAACCCTGTGATTTGTGTGTGTGTGTGTGGGGGGGGGGGAATGTGCCCTGGGATGCTGCAGGGAAGAGTCTGAGGGATTGGGCTACCTTTTGTGACCTTGAAGAGTGTGGGTCATTTTTGGACAGTGTCAAGAGAAGTTTGGGGATCAGAGAGGTGAGGATTTGAAAAGATCAGGGATGGGCTGCCAGGTGTCCTAGGATTCCCAAGCTGGTGTATTATTAGCCAAAGTAGTCAGTACTTGATTCTAGCAGCCCATCTTTGCTCTTTTATTTGCTGCTTCCTATCTAGGGCCCACATAAAGAACTGATTAGAATTTTGATGATGGGCTTGATAAAAAGCGTCCCACAGTTGCCCCTTCCCTCAATCCTAGCTGAGTGGTGGCTGAGGCTCTGGTTGGGTTGGGAGAGGAATCCTTACATAAGTGAGCCTCACTTTTGTGGCTCACTCTATACTTTCCAAGTTCTTTCCCAGCATACATCTCATTAGATCTTGTCAATACCCCATTATGTAGGCAGGGCCAACGTCATTACCTCACTCAGCAATAATCATAACAGCTGCTGTTTATTCAGTGCATATTAATGTGCTATGCACTGTATTAGGCACTTTAGGTACACACTCTCATTTGATTCTTGCAACATCCTAGAGAGTAAATGATGTTAGCCCTCCCTTTTTAAATAAAAGCAGAAGAGGAAACAGGTTTGGGGAGAGCAAAGGATTTATGAAGGATCATTGAGGCTGGACTGTGTTCCCTTCCTTTTTTCCACCCAATCCGGGTAAGAAATTGGTCTAGATGGCCTCCCCAGGTCACCCAATGGTCATAGCAGAGTTTGAGCTGAATCCTGGTCTGTGGAACTTCACACCAGTGCATCCTACACCACCCATTAACCACCTTCTCATCTTTTTTCTTTTTTTTTTTTTTTTTAATTTTTTATTGTTGGTTGTTCAAAACATTACAAATTTCTTGACATATCATATTCCACACTTTGATTCAAGTGGGTTCTCATCTTTTTTCTAGTGAGAGAAAAGCTATGTGTATCCCATGTCTTAGTGACCCTTCTTGAGTTTGAGGGGAACTTATGGGGAGCACCGCGCTAGGCTCTGTTCTCTTATTAGGTCTCCAGCACCACTTACCTTATGCTTTTGTTACATTAGCAAAAATTAAAACATCTTACAGGTGCAGTGTGAGGGCACACATCTGTAATCCTGGTGACTTGGTAGGCTGAGGCAGGAGAATCTAAAGTTTGAGGCCAGGCCAGCCTCAGCCACTGAGTGAGACCTTGTCTCAAAGTTAATAAATAAATAAATAGGGCTGGGGATGTAGCTCAGTGGTAGAGCACCTTTGGGTTCAATCCTCAGAGCTGAAAAAAAAATAAAGAGTGGTGAATATGCTTATTTCCCTGGGTAAAGTGGATTGTCTGGGTGGCGTTGTGGAGGGAGCAGATGTTTGTTCCTCGATTGGTGCCATGCCACAGTGCCCCAGCGCTGTCCATTCCCATCAGTGGCACCTCTTCTCACACACCTTTCCTCCAGCACTGCAGACTCTGCTGCGCCATCAGCGTCAGGTAACTTCTGATGAACTGGGAAGAGCTGAGCCGGCTGCTTCCTGCGCAGACCTGCTGTGTAACCAGTGCTCAGGACGAGGTTCTACCAGGAGGCACCGAGATTTTGGAGTAGGGAGGTAGTGCAGATCCAGTCTGATAATAAGTGGTAGTGTGTTCATGGGGATTCCAAGAAGTAGGCTATGTTTTTTGCCCCTCAGAAACTTGCAGGCCCCCAGGGAGGGTGGTTTGCGCTGGAGTCTGCACAGATTGCACACGCTCACGCAGTTGCATGCAATTGTAGGGCTCTGCCCTGGTGCCGTGTGCTGTGTTCTGAAAGGGAAGCTCTCTAAGGACCAGAGGAACCCTTTGCGGAGGGTTCCGACCCAGACATTCATGTGGGAGCAGGTGTGGTGCCTGTCCCAGGGGCTTCGGGATCTTGTGGGAACTCTTCCCTGCCAGGAGCCGTGGGAACTTGGGAGGGAAGAGCTGAGGTGCTACAGGGCTTCAGGCATTGCATGGGGACCCTGGGACAGAAAGGCAGGTGTGAAGAAGCAACAGTTCCCAGAGGGAAGCCTGGGAGCTGCTGCCTTTCTAAAGACAGGGAAGAGATGGGGAGAGGCTGCCACCATGTCTCAGAACTATGGTTTTTTCTTTTTTTAATATATATATATAAAATTTTTTTTTTTAGTTGTAGTTGGACACAACACTTTTATTTCACTTGTTTATTTTTGTATGTGGTGCTAAGGATCAAGCCCTGGGGCGAGTGCTCTACCACTGAGCCACAATCCCAGCCCCAAGAACCATGGTTCTTTTGGTGAGGGTGTCTTCTGTCTGTCTGGCCAGAGGGAGAGGCAGTGGGTGGATATGGTGAGCAGAGAGCTTCTAGATCCCAGGCTCACCTGCCACCCTGGCTCACAGATCAAACAGAGCTGCTGGCGCTTGCTGGTATTGCTGGGAGGCTGACTGGCCACCTACATTTCCCCTTTTTGGTGGGATTCCACCAGTCCGAGACACTTGAACCACATATTTCTGGTTCTCTTTTGTCCCTTCTCTGCCAGAAAAACAGAAGGGGACAACAGAGCAGAGTGGGCTGAGATCCTTGCATTGTAGCCAACAGGGAGGTCCAGCATGGAAGGAAAGACGCTGGGAGGTAGAAGCACCCATGGGGACAGCTGAGAAGGGCAGGCGGGGGCAGACCCGGGGCTATTCAGCATGGACCCTCCCTGGCTACTCTCCCTCCATCCACCTTCCCAAATGAGGTATAGAGGAGGTTTGGGTACCGAGAAGACACACAGGACAGAAGTTCACGCTTCTGAGATGTTGATCACATGGGGAGTCTGCCTACAGGCCCAGGATATTCAAGTATATACATGTTGATTAAAGTCTTAGGAGGGAAAAGGTCCTCTCTGTGGATAAGTGAGGTGTCTTGCCGTAGCATATCTGATGATGTGTTTATGTGCTGCTTGTTAGTCCCGTAGCCCCTATTAGAATATAAACCCCGTCTTGCTCTGTTCTGCACCTTGATTCATAGTTTGGGCTTAAATAGTTCGTGGATTAAATGAACAGCTCTCCTTTTGTCATACATTAGTGTGTGTATCCCTTTTTCTTTGTTCATAAAGAGGCGCACCATTGCAGGTATGCCTGCAGAACACATTCCTAGAGGTGGAACTGATAGGACAAAAGCAAGGTCGTGGAACCTCTATTTATTTAGGTACTAGGATTCGGACCTGAGGGTGCTCTACCACTGAGCCACGCTCCCAGCCCATTTTATTTTATTTTATTTTGATACCAGCGTTTTAACCCAGGGGTACTTGACCACTGAACCACGCACGTCCCTAGCCCTTTTTATAATTTATTTAGAGACAGCGTCTTACTGAGTTTCCTAGAGCCTCACTAAATTGCTGAGGCTGGCTTTGAACTCATGATCCTCCTGCCTCAGCCTCCCGAATTGGTGGGATTATAGGCATGCACCCCTATGCCTGGCTGAATCTCTTTCTAGATACTGCCAGATTGCCCTCCAGGAAAGGTTCATTAATTCATGGCCCTACCAAGTGTACAAATGTGCCTGTGTCCCTGGCCTGGGCCAGTGCTAAGTATCACTTAGTATGTGCTCAATTATCAGCCGACCTGAGGGCAGTTCCTGGTCCCTGGGGCAGGACAGGGGTGATAGCAGGCCTGGGGCATGGGGAAGTGCCCTGCTCCAGGTGCATGGGCTGGAGGTCAGGGTCCTGGCAGCCCACGGCAAGGAATAGTGGTGTAGGCGGGCATCTGAGAGGCTGCCCTGGGCAGAGCAAAGCTTGAAGGAAGATATCTAGGGTCGGCCTGGGGGGCTTCCAGGAGAGCCTTGTATTTCTTCAACAGGTATGTGATATGCAGGGAGCTCCGTGGCCGCAAGACGTAGTTGTCTAGCAGGGCAGGGGGCCTGTGGTCCGTAGCGTTCCTGCCTGACGGGCCTTGCTTCTCACAGGGATCCTAGCTCCCCAGAGGAAATGGGCCCATTTTAAAGTTTCAAAAGAATGGACAGAGAAAAAAAATAGCAAGAGAGGTGGAAGGAGGAGCTGGCATCTGCTAGCCCTTATTCTGGGCTGGGCCTTGGCTGAGGAGAATGGAACACATGAGGGGGTGCTCTCATGCACCCCATTTTCTAGAGGGCCAGAGGATGGCTCGATGATCTGCCTAAGCTAATGCAGCAAATAAGTGACTAAGCCAGGACTGGAGCTCAGGCCGTCTCAGGCTGGAACGTGGAGCCCTTGGGGAGAAGCCAGGGATGAGCCGCATGCTCAGGGCTTTGGCAGAGGTCTTCAGGAACAGGATCAGGGGCCAAGATCCTGCCTCGAAGGCCGTTGGCCCCTTGTTTCCAAATGACCTGTTGACAGAAGAGCAGACCGGGGCAGTCTGAGCCAACAGATGGTGTGAAATGCTTGGCAGGAGCCCTGGACCATGTCTGTGGCACATGTCCCTCATGCCCTGGGTGTGACATCGGGATGGTTGGTCCCCATGGTGGGGGTCGGGTAGTAAAGCTTCTGCATTGCAGTTGAAGCTGAGCTAAGCCACCCACTCTTGTCCCTAAGCTCCAGAAGTAACTTCCTACGCCTCTCAGAGACAGATGCTCTGGAAAGAATAGTGGGACACCACCTCCACCCGCCACCTTAGGGGTGACAGCTGACTTGATGCTGGAAGGGAGGTCGAGGGCCTGCATCTCACGTCATCCCCTCCTCTGCCGGCCTTGACCTTCTGCCAGGAAGGCAGCAGCCAAGTCAGACCCACACTGTTCCCATATTCATTTTGGGGCTGAGCACTGCTGTTCAGATTTTTCATGTGGTGACATGACTGGGAACTCTGGAGGCAGATCCAGCATGTCTGGCCAGTGCCCTGGGGCTGTACCTGAGTGAGTGAGTGACACCATCACTGAGCCCTGAGACCCTCTTCCTCTCCCTTTTGTCCACAGGCTCAGGTGGCCTTCCTCCAGGGAGAAAGGAAAGGGCAAGAAAACCTAAAGACTGACCTGGTGCGGCGGATCAAGATGTTGGAGTATGCGCTAAAGCAGGAAAGGTGAGTCCTGCCGCCTGCTTGTCCTGACCTCTGAGAGGTCTGTGGGCCATATGCCTTTCGACTGCAGGCGCTCGAGGACCAGGCATCCTCTTCCTGTCATCTTCGGGAGGAAGAGGAAGCAGGGCGCAGTGGGATCCAGGGTAGACAGCAGTGGCAGTGCGTGTGAGGGCGGCCCACGGTGTGCTGACTATGGACCATAGCGGTCTTGCTTACCCATTCTGATACTTGCTGGGCATGATTGTCCTGTTTCTGACAAGAAATTGAGGCTTTAGGATGGGGGTGGCTTCAAGGACTCTTGGAGCTGGGATGGCAGCACAGCCAGGTTGACTCCAAGGAGTCGCTTTCCATCACCGCACCCACCGTGGCATCTCCTGGGGGGACGTCTGCTTCAGCGTGGGGTGAGTGGGTGAGGGAGGCCCGGGGATTTGGGATTCTGGAGGTGACTGCTGGCCCATCCACCTGTCTTGCTCATTAATCATTTGCTTTTTTAGGGCCAAATATCATAAGCTGAAGTTTGGGACAGACTTGAACCAGGGGGAGAAGAAACCAGATCTGGCAGAACAAGGTACCCAGCCTGGGATCCCGGCCCTTGTTGTCCCTCCCTGAAGCTGGCTGTGAGGGGAGTGTAGAGACGGGGTGCTCTCTTACTGTGCTCTGTGGAAAGCAGTCCTGGCCATGAGGCAGGACGGGGCCGTGGAATGGAGTTCTCAGCGCCCTGCTGTGTGTGCTCTGTGGACTCTGCCGGGTCCTGGGGCGGACCTGCCTGCCAGCCCTCCCTCTGAGACACCATGGAATCGCAGCAGCTTGCGCCTCCCTGTGAGGAGTGGAGCCAGGCTATTTATAGGGTGCTGTGGACAGCGTAGGAAGCTGCGGAAGCCTTGCCGAGAGGTGGTGTGTGTGCTGGGCTGGCATCCAGCTATACATCCAGAAAGTTTATTTGTGGGTGCTGCTTTCTGTCCCAGAACAGGAGCACACCAGGGCACGAGTAGCCCCTGCCCTCTGGGTCCTTAGAACCTGAGCGCCTGGAGAGGCTTAGTTCTTCCAGAGGCAGTGAGGGCAGATTTCAGGGGAGGGACGGGGGAATCAGCGAGGCCAGAACAGCTGGGGAGGGTGGCAGACCCGAGGGGCTGCACTGGGTGAAGCTGTGGCTTGGCCGAGGGGACCTGCGAGGGCCCTTGCCCACTAGGTGCAGGGATTCTTCCAGCCAGGCTGTGAGTTCCACTGTGGCCAGGCTCTGCAGCCAGGCCTAGCGAGGCACAGCGGGGACACCAGGACATACTTGCTGTATATAATACTAAGCACATTACCAGCTGGATCCCCAAGTGATCCTAAGAGGTCAGTGCTGTCATTACCTGCATTTCTCAGGAGAGTAGGCTGGCCTGCTCTGGGTCACACCACGAGTGTGGGAAGTGGCAGAGTTGGGCTTGACCCCAGCTGCCTGTCCTCCTAGGTTCTGGGTAGGAATATGACATCTAGGCCTGAGTGGGAAAGCAGAGCTCTGTTGGGGCCATGGCTGGGGCTCAGTGGTGGAGTGTATGCCTTGCACGTGTAGGGCACTGGGTTCCATCCTCAGCACCACATAAAAATTAATAAAAATAAAGGTATTGTGTCCCTACAACTACAAAAAATATTAAAAAATAAAAAGGCAGAGCTCAGCTTTTACTTGTGGGGTGGTTTGGGGAACAGGCAGGAGACAAAGGTGAGGAGCATTTCCAGGAGCAAGAATCACTGAGAACAGGAGAGTGGGTTTCCAACCCTCGGGAAGTGACCTGAGAAGATGGATTTGGGTCTGGGATGAGGGGATGGGGAGGTGTTGGGTGAGTAGCAGTGCTCAGAGACAGCCTTCTTTCTCTGTCCACCAGTCTCCAACGGCCCTGTGGAGTCGGTCACCCTGGAGAACAGCCCACTGGTATGGAAGGAGGGAAGGCAGCTTCTTCGACAGTGAGTATGGGGGTGGGGACAGGATGAGGGGCAGGACACAACACATTTGGCACAGGAGATAAGCCTGTGGGCTCCACCGTCCTTCCTGTCCACACTGGGGACACTGAATTATCGGGATCCCTGCTAGCCACAGCTATATGGCCTGTCACCTATGAGTGGAACTCTGCCTGGGGATCAGGAGGAAGTATTCATTGCAGGAGGCAGATGTGGGGACCCTACTGTGGGAATACAACCTGAATGTTTCTGTGGCTTTTTTTTTTTTCCTAAGGGTAGTGTGAACTTATTATTTTTTATCTTTTAAATTTTATTATTTTTGAAGTACAGGGACAGAACTCAGGGCCTTGAGCACGCTAGGCACTTGCTCCACTCGCCTATATTCACAGCCAAATTATTTTTTTTGTGGGGGGGGGGGCACCGGGATTGAACTCAGGGGCACTTGACCACTGAGCCACATCCCTATTTTATGTTATTTAGAGACAGGGTCTCACTGAGTTGCTTAGTGCCTTGCCGTTGCTGAGGCTGGCTTGAACTTGCGATCCTCCTGCCTCAGCCTCCTCGGCACTGGGATTACAGGTGTGTGTCACTGTGTCTGGCCCTTATTACTGAAAGGATTTATACATTTTAGAAAACTTGGGCTGGGCCTAATATACCCACCTGTAATTCCAGTACTAGAGAGGCAGGAGGATTGCAAGTTCAAGGCAGCCTCAACAACTTAGCGAGTGAGACCCTGACAAAAATATAATAAAAAGATCTGGGGATGTTGTGGTAGAGTGCTTACCTAGCATGTATGAGGCCCCAGTCCATCCCTAGGACTGAAAAATATTAATATTAATAGTAAATAAACATTACTCATAATTTTACCCTGGGGATTTTATGTGCCCTTAACAGTTTTGTCATTTGTATTGTTGACTTCCCAAATGGGGGCAGGTAGACTCCCCAACTCTTCTGTGGCTGGGTGTTACATAAGCCATGATTTCCCTTTCGCTGTTCCAGTGTTTTGTAGCACGTTGCTTTTACTAAGTGTCGTGAACATTTTCCATGTAAATTATTTGTATTGTATTTCATTGAGGTTTTTAACTCTTTGGTATTACAGACATTGTGACATACATCAGGAAGCTGTCCTTGGCTTCCCCAAGCTCAGTAATCGGCAGGTGTAGCTGCCAGTTGAACGTGCACAGTCACCCCAGGCGACATAAAAATAATAATGATGCTAATGGGTCACATTACCAGGTCCGTGCTGTGCGCCTGGTTCCTCTCCTAAGTGTCTGTCCCTGTGCAGTGTAACTGCCAGCATTCCCCTCTTCACTTTCACAGTGAGGAAGCTGAGGTGCAGACAGCTGCTCAGAGCCACAGTTAATACGCGGAGGGTCTGCAGGGGAACCTCAGGCGTTGCTCTAGGAGGCCACCTTCTTAGTCACCATGCTTCCCTGCCTCAGACACTCGAGGGGAAAGCAAAAGAAGGCACGCACAGCCTAACTAACCAGAGGTGGCATCAGCTCCCAGGGGACAGGATGAACAGAAAGGACTTCCTGGCCAACAGGTCCCTTGTGGAGCCTCAAGGCACTGTCGTCTTATCTTTTCAAGCCGCAGATACCCACAATTGATTTTTTGTTCTTGTTTGTTCTTTTTCTTTTTTTTTCCTTAGGCCAGTCTCAGCTGGCTTCAGTTTTTTAAGTTGCAGAAGCAGTATATGCTCAGCTGTAGAAGTAAGTGGAATAAGCTGCCACAGTCCCTTTTGCTTCCCTGACCCTACTCTGTAAAGGTCACTGCTGCTCAGTTTGTGTCTTTCTTGGAGGACATAACACAAGTGTGTGTTTGTGTGTGATGTAAGCTTATATACACCCTAACATTTTTTTTTTTTTCTTTTACCAAAACGAATCCATGGGGCTGGGAGTACAGCTCAGTCAGTACAGTGCTCGCCTTGCATGCACAAAGCCCTGGGTTCAACCTAGCACCACACACACACACACACACACAGAATCACATGGAACATCTAACTTGCCGTTTTCATTCTGCCGTTTGCCAAAGCCATCTTTCTCTGGCCCTCTGATGTGGTTGCTCTCTGCCTAGAGTCCCGTTCAGCAATTTGCTGGCACAGTCCCCTTCAGTGGACATTGAGGCTGGTCCTGCAGTTGGGCTCTCCCCTCAACGTGCCAGGGACACTGTGTGCAGCGTGCATGTGGCCCACAGCTTCCACTGAAACAGTCTGGAAAGTGTAACTGCTGTGCCAGGGTGTGCCTGTGGAAAACTGTGGTGTCTTAAACGGCCCCTTGAAAGGCTGTCACAGTTTGCATTGGCCCCTGCCGTCTGTGAAGTAGCTCAGTAGGTTCTGACGTGTTGTGGCTCTGACCTGTAGGTACCTGGAAGAAGTGGGCTACACAGACACCATCCTCGACATGCGGTCCAAGCGTGTACGCTCCCTGCTGGGCCGCTCACTGGAGCTCAATGGGGCCGCTGAGCCTAGTGACGCGGGCCCCCGTGCAGCGCCAGGCCCTGGGGGGCTCAGTGGCGGGGAGTCGCTGCTGGTGAAGCAGATTGAGGAGCAGATCAAGAGGTGAGTCCCTGGGTGTCCTCCTGATGAATGCGTGTCTGAAAGCCAGCATGTGCTCCTGGGTTTCCTGCTGGCCCTTTCTGGAGTGTATTGTGGGTCCATTTGTCCTGGAATCCTCTGTACCTCTATTCCCCTGAATTCTCTTCTGGTCCCCTGTAGGCATATTCTCCTGGCCTCCTCTCCAGGCCTCCTACCCGATGCTCAGTCTTGCACACATCAGGTGGACCCTTTGGCTTGACAGCACTTGGTGGGGAACAACACGTAGTTACCAACCTCTGGAGCTCTTATTTGTCAGAGTTAATAATGTCATTATTAGGTGAAATGTTAAGCATGGCGGGAGATGGCTAGGCATGGTGGTGCTTTCCTATAGTCCTGGCTGCTTGGGAGGCTGATGTGGAAGAATTCCTTGAGCCCAGGAGTTCAAGGCCAGTGGGCACACACCACAGTGAGACCCTGCCTCAAAACAAAATAAGGCTGGGCATGGTGGCGCATGCCTGTAATCCCAGCAGCCTGGGAGGCTGAGCCAGGAGGATCCCAAGTTCAAAGCCAGTCTCAGCAACTTAGGCCCTAAACAACTTAGCAAGACTCTTTCTCAAAATAAAAACAAAAAGGGCTGGGGATATAGCTTAGTGGCTAAGTGTTCCTGAGTTCAATTCCTGGTACCTAAAATAAAAACAAGAAGTGATGGAAATAGTGCTATTTTGGATGAGATAGGAAGGTGACATTTGGGCAATGGTACCTAGAAGAAAAATGTTCTAGGCAGAGATAACGGTGAAGCCCCTGTCCTGAGAGAGACAGGCGTGGTGTGTGCAGGAAGCAGGAACCCGTGTGGAGATGCAGGCCTGAGGGCTGTGGTGAGTGAGGCCGGGTCTTGAAGGCAGATCATGCTGGGTACTAGGAGGCGCCATGGTACACACTGTAATCCCAAGGCTCAGGAGGCTGAGGGAGGAAAGCCAGCTTCAGCAACTTAGCAAGGCCCTAAGCAACTTAGAGAGCCCCTGTTTCAAAAGAAAATATAAGAAAAGGTCTGGGAATGTGACTCAAGAGGCCAAGTACCCCTGGGTTCAATCCCTGGTATTAAAAAAAAGTTGGATTCTACACTTGGTGTTTGTGGAACCACACATTGGTTTCTGGTAGGTCTGCTGTGATGAGAGGCTGTGGAGTCAGGGAAGCTGGGGGAGGTGAGGCCTGAGGGCTCTCAGAGGTGGAGAGGTGGGAAATGGTGGCTTCTCCTTGGTTGGCACTATTTAAAGGATTTAGGTGACGGGGAGCAAAGGAAGTAGGGTTTGGTCTGAACGATGGAGCAGCGTCTCCTAAAATAGGGAGACTGGTGGAACCGCAGGGCTGTGGAGAGCAGGTTGAGGGGCCCGTGTGGAGCTTGGCCCAGGTAGCCCCTAAACGCAGCCCTAGTTCACCAGTCCCTGGATGTTCTTGGGAAGGCAAGGTCTGTCCACCATCAGTGAGGGAGCAGGATAGATGGCCTGGGGAGATCTGAGTCCCCTGCCTTGAGATGTGAGAGAGGAGCCAAAGGGGGGGGGAGCAGGGGGGGCACTGCGGGAGGAAGCCACGGGATGAGTGTGGGGAGGGTCTGGGGGTGCTCCCAGGAGAAGAGGGGGAGCACTAGGCTGGGCAGCCTGGGTGAGTCATCTCTGCACCCAGGGGCGGGGGTCCCCGGCAACTGAGAACTGTGGCAGCCAGATGTCAGAAGGAAGGGGTTTGCTTGACCCGGCCTCTGCTGGAACTTGTCATCAAGGAGGTAGACGTAGGAGTGCCATCTGTCGCTTGGGTGGCCCAGGTCCTGCAGCCTTGCTCAGCCATGGCCCCGGAGGCATTGGTCGGGCGGCCAGTTCCTCTTCCCTGCCTGCGACTGACCTGGGCTTTGGGTTGGATTGACCGTGGGAATAGGAGCTGCTGCGCCAGTGGCACTTCCCTTCCAGCTTGGTCCCTGGGGGCAGGTGCAGTCAGGGTGGGTACGGGGCCTCCAGAACCCTGGCGGGAGTTTTGGGAGGTGCTGGGCTATTTTTGGTCTGAATGAGGGATCTGCTGGGCAGAGCCTGGGTCAGGATGTGCGTGATCAGGGTCCAGGCTCCTCAGGGCTTAGGAACTTCACTGAGTCCCGGCTTCGCTACACGCTGGGCTCCTTCCCACCTGGGATTCATCGCCTGGCAGGACTGATCTCCTCCTGTCCTTGTCGTGGGCAGGAATGCGGCAGGCAAAGACGGCCAAGAGCGCCTGGGGGGCTCGGTGCTGGAGCAGATCCCCTTCCTGCAGAACTGCGAGGACGAGGACAGCGACGAGGATGACGAGCTGGACAGCGTGCAGCACAAGAAGCAGCGTGTGAAGGTGGCCCCCTCGTGGTCCCACATCAGTCCCTCCCTCTTGACCGCAGAGGTGCCCCCAGGGCCTTTGTCTGAGCTCCCCCCAGCTGCCCCCCTCCTTTCCTCAGCTCGAGTGCGTGGACTGGAGACTCCTCTGGAGCTCTGCGGGCGACGCCACACCAGCCACGTGCCCTCGGTGCCCTCTCAGGCTCTCGCCAGTGGAGTCAGTGTTCTTGCTGTGGCTGTCTCTCTCTCCTCCAGTAGCCTGGGAGCTCCATCAGGAAGGGACTGTGGCTCTGTCCCTGTGTCCTCAAAAGGGTGTGGAACAGAGACGCTCAGTAAATATTTGTAAATGGTGTGAGTATGGCTGAGGCCAGGTCAGCCTGGGTCTGGGGGGGCTCTAGGACGTGGGTGTCTAGTCTTCTCTTGGTGTGAGGACCCAGGCCCAGGGACACTGCCCTTGGCGAAGTGTCCAGGTTGCCTCAGCGTGGTCTCGAGAGCTGGCTCCCGGCGCCGCCTATGTGTCCCCCTGCTCCCTGCCTGCCAGAGCCCCCGTGCTTCCGCCGTCTCAAGGATGCTGTCCTTAGACCTGGCGTGGTCTTGTCTATCGAGCAACATCAGTTTGGGCCTTCACTTGGCCAGCTCTGTGCCAGTGGCAGAAATGACATGAAGGGTGCAGCTCCTGACAGGGAGCCGCTTGTGGCTGGTGGTGGCCTTGTGGAGTCCTGTGCAGGAGGATGAGTCATGGAGGCAGACATGTGGCCGGAAGGAGGGGCCTGTGGGAGACGGCTTGGGCCTCCCCTGAATCCCGGCCTTCCCAGCAGCAGCCTCTGCCGAGACCCCCTTCCCCACTTCCCTCGACTCAGCTCAGACATCACCTCCTCCTGTGGTGACATGGCCTTTCTCTGGCTTGCTTTCTGCTTGGTGTCCCCCACAGGGTCAGGAACCTCCCATGGGCTCCTGTAGTCCTTGGACTCTCTCTTCCCAGCCCTGACAGCTCTGGCGTCGGGTCTGTATCTCTTCCCCAGCCCCTGTGAGGGATGGGTTCGTTGTGGCTTCTGTTCTCCTTCCAGTGCCCCCGTCGTCTCCGCACAGGGCCCTGCCTGGCCGAGGCCTCTGGTTAAGGCTCTGAGGGGAACAGAAGGCACGGAACTGCATCCACAGGAGGCCTGGAGGGAGGGCAGCAGGGCTTGGAGTCTGGGGCCTCTCACCTCCTCCCTGGTCTGGAATACGGTCCCTCCTGCGCCTGGGGAGTCTTTCTGTCGCTTCCTCTGGGAAACCGTCCTCCCCTCTTGTCCTCCCAGCAGAAACAACCACTGACTTTTAATATCCCATTAGGCCTCCACATCTGTCACCGCAGTTGTGCCTTGTGCCCTGTGGGCTGGCTCGTGTGTCGGGGTCTCTGCCTCCCCCGGCCTGTCTCCACACGGCAGACCGACCCAGCAGACCTGCTGTGACTCCTGATGGGCTGGTGGCCTGGCCGCATGTGTAGGGCACGTGCTTCTCTTGTCTTAGCTGGTTTCTGAACACATGAAATGGGGCCGAGTCTCCGGTCTCTGGGTTGGGCTGTTTAAAGTGAGTTGATACATAGCCCTTAGCTGTGCAGAGGCTACCCTCCACCAAGAGCCCCCCATATGGCAACAGTTGGTCACTGTTAGGCATGCTTGGAGTGGGGTGGCTCCCACAGGGCTAGAGTGTGATGGGAGAACCCTCTCACATGCCTTTTTCGGAGTATCTGTGATGGTTCCACTTGTCCGTGAGTCCTGACCCGGGCCATGGCCTCTCTGGACATGCTGTCTAAACCTTGACCATGTCCACTCCTGTGGTCCCCAGTGCAGGCCAGAGTCTGGCCTCTCACAGGTGCCCAACAGGCGTTGCCTCCAGATTCAGTCCCAGCTCAGGCCTCACCTGTAGCGGGGTCAGCCACACCCTGGAGGAGGCCACAGTTGGCTGAGGCTGCCCAGGGCATGGCCTAGCGTGGACTTGGTGGCTACTGGGGCAGGTGGCTTCCCTCTGCCCAGTGACCGTGGTGGCTGCGCGGGCTTGTTGTTACCTGGAGCCAGGTGTGCAAAGCTCATCCAGTGTCTTTCGTTCTGTTGGTGCGTGTGACTAGTGGTTAATGTCATGGTTACTGTTACGTGCTTAAAATGCTGCTGTTGTCCTTTAACTGTGCGTCTTTGTGCATTCACTTGCGCACAAGTACGTGTCCCCACCTGACGGCTTTTTTTAGCATGTCTTCCCAAGAAGCCCTTTGGTGGGGTGGGGGCAGGAACCGGGCAGGGACGGATTCCAGCCGCAGGTGGAGGAGGACTGCCAAGAGGTCCAGGAAGCCAGGATGAGGGGCCCCTGGCTCAGCCCTGTCCCTAGTGCTGGGCAGCTGCCGAGGGCTCCAGCAGGGGGCGCCCCAGAATCTGAGTTGACCCTCCAGAACAGCTGGGGTTGGAGCAGGGCACCCAGGCAGGAGGGGTATGAGGGTGCCAGGCAGAGAGAGGGCTGGGGACTGTGGCTTGTCTGTTCCCAGAGACCAGGTGGGCTTGGTCCCTGACACAGCCCTGACCTGCCTGCTTTTGTCCACGTCCCAGCTCCCCTCCAAGGCCCTTGTTCCCGAGCTGGAAGACGAAGACGAGGAGGACGACTCAGAGGATGCCATCAATGAGTTTGACTTCCTGGGCTCAGGAGAGGACGGGGAGGGGTCTCCAGACCCTCGGCGCTGCACTGGAGAGGGGAGCCCCCACGAGCTGGGTGAGTCGAGTGCTATTCAGCTGCCTCCACTGGCCTGCCTGCCACCAGGGCAGACCTGGCCCTGCGCTGGCCCCACAGCCTCCGCAGCTGCTTCCTGCCAGGTCTCTCCACCGGATGGATACGCTTCCGAGAGGGGAGGGGCTGGGGGGAGCAGGGGCTGGAGCCAGTGGCCAGGCCCCTCACCCTTCCCTGGAAAGTCCCGGGGGCCACAGGCAAGGCCATTCTTCCTGGAGCTGGGCCACTGTCCCCCTGTGGCCAGTGTCCAATACTGGCTGAGCTTAAGGAGGGAACAGGATAAGGACCCGGTGGGGGAGAGGCAGGTGGGGCAGGGCTGCGTCTTCCTCTCTGTTTCGTGACTCCTTGCCAGGAGTGCCCTTGGGGAGGTCACATGGGTGGATGGCTGGGACGGAGGCCCAAGACAGGGCAGAGACTTGCCCACCACCCAGAGGGTCCCTCAGTTTCCCACGGCTGCAGAAAGGCCTGTGGCAGTGGAGAAGACGGCACCCTCAAGGCTGGGTCGGAACTGGCGGGTGACTCCTGCCTGTCTTCTCCCTGTAGAAAGCCGTCGTGTCAAACTCCAGGGAATTCTGGCTGACCTTCGGGATGTGGATGGGCTGCCCCCCAAAGTGACTGGCCCACCTCCTGGCACGCCTCAGCCTCGGCCTCACGAAGGTAAACCCCACGCCCCAGTGCCTTGGGGCTCAAGACAGAGGGAGGCTGCAGAGCTAAGCCCAGGGCTTCTGTGTCCTCAGGGGCAAGGCCCAGCCTCCAGTCTGCAGCCTCCCTGTCCCAAAAGTTCGTCTGTCTGTCTCTGTCTCCTCTCCTTTTGTCTGTCCTGCCCTGTCTGTCTCTCTGTCTCTTCCTTTCCAGCTGTGGTTCTTGATCTCGTCCTCCTCCCTCCCTCTTTCTCGCTCCTCATCTCTCTCTGCCTCTCTCTGCCTCTCTCTCCCTGGCCCTCTCTGCCCCTCCCACCCTCCCCCTACCAGGTTCCTTTGGCTTCTCCTCAGACGTCTTCATCATGGACACTATCGGGGGCGGGGAGGTGAGCCTGGGGGACTTGGCAGATCTCACCGTCACCAACGACAACGACCTCAGTTGTGACGTAAGTTCTCAGGTGCCCCCCTGGAGTCACGCTCAGTGCAGCCCTTGCCAAACTCTGGCCACATGTCCTAGGCCTGGAGTCAGCCCAGGACTGAGGTCATCCTAGGCCCCAGGAGGTGCTTCACCTTGTTTGTCAGGGGTGCAGGGCAGACCCTGTGGCCTGTGTTCTGAACCTGACACCTTAGTCAGGCCTTGGGCCATCTGGGGATTTCTGGGGCAGCGGGTAGGGTGCGTGTGAGCTTTTTTTCCGGGCAGATCAGGACCTTGAGTGGTTGATCCAGCAAGATAGGAGTCACGGTGTGGAGTGCAGGAGTGGGGCTGGGCACAGGGTCTGCCTGGAGCTGGCCACGAGGCTCCCCCACTCCCCCAGGGGGCGCAGGAGAAGTTCTGCCACAGCTCCTCTGGCTCCAGGGACCCTGCAGGGGGCTGAGCCAGGTTGAGGGGGTCATGTGGCATGAACCTCAGCTGGGGCAGGACACTCGGCCAGCCGGACAGTCTGAGTCTGGCCCTTCCACATCCCTGCTGGGTGTGTACCAGCACCCTTGTGAGGGCAGATGTGGGCCTCAGGGACTCATCCATAGAGGTCCGTGGGTTTTGCCCCAAACCTCCTCCTCCTGCATGCTTGTTTCCATTTCCATGGCAAAGTGTCTGGTCTCAGTGTCCTCCTGTTTCCCTGCAGCTTCATGGCCTCTTACCCATCTCTCTGCAGCTATTCTTGGTTTTTTTTCCTTCGTATTTTGTAGTTGTAGATGGACACAGTATCTTTATTTACTTTTATGTGGTGCTAAGGATCGAACCCAGTGCCCCTCCCATGTGAGGCGGCTGCTCTGCCACTGAGCCCCAGCCCCAGCCCTGCAGCTGTTCTTCCCCTAATCTGAGCTTCCCTGGATTGGCCCGAGCAAGCCACGGAACTCCCCTGTGCTGAACCCTTCTGTGACTCCACCTTTCCCTAAGCCTTTTTCTTATGGTGAAATGCCTATTTCTGGGTGTGGCTCACCATTCTGCCTCCTGTAGGCCTCTGGCTTCATCCACCCCTCACCCATTTCGTGAAGCCCAGCCATGCTCTTTTTTTTTTTGTAAAATCAGGGCCTTGTGCATGAGGCAAGCACTCTACCAGTACCAGGAGCTGGGTATTCTTGATTGATAGCACTGCTCATAGTGTGTGGTGTGTGCAGACGCCCCCTCTGAACTGCAAGACCCCAAGAGTTCAGGCCCCTTGGTTTCCCCAGCACCTGGCACATTGCAGGGGCTCACTGAGTGGGTGAGGGGCTCTGCTGGACATGGAGGAAGGGAGGGTGTCCAGCTGGAGCGAGTCTGGGTGGGAACTGGAGGTGTCCTGGGCCCGGGTGTCAGTGTCTGCATGAGGGCCAGAGTGGACAAGGGGACACTGAGGCAGCTTGCCCCCTCAGCTGTCTGACAGTAAGGATGCCTTCAAGAAGACGTGGAACCCCAAGTTCACCCTCCGCTCGCACTATGATGGCATCCGCTCCCTGGCCTTCCACCACAGCCAGTCGGCGCTGCTCACCGCCTCCGAGGACGGCACGCTCAAGCTCTGGAACCTGCAGAAGGCAGTCACGGCCAAGAAGTGAGGGCAGCAGTCCCAGAGCAGGGGTGGGGCCTCCAGGCTGAGGGCTGGGGGTCTCAGTGATGCTCGACTCTGTCTCCCCCAGGAATGCTGCGCTGGACGTGGAGCCCATCCACGCCTTCCGGGCCCACAGGTAGGAGAGGCCCTCCTAGGGGCCAGTTGGTGGCGGAGGCTCAGTCCCCGTGCCCTCCATCTTGTGTGGCACACCTGCACGCTCCCTCACTCCTGGACTGTCGGCCCCACGTGCTCCTGGTGGTGGCCTTAGTTTGGCTCTTCCAAGTTGGAAACGAATAGGGGTTGGGGACAGGCAGCTTGCCTGGGTGGCATGACCAGGCCTGACACTGAGTTACTTTTGGCCATCCTTAGAAATTTCATGTCCCCACAGCCATGGAAAGTTTTGAGCTGCCTGTCTCACCTCCCTTTCCCCACCTTTGTCCCCTGCAGGGGCCCTGTGTTGGCAGTAGCCATGGGCAGCAACAGCGAGTACTGCTACAGTGGAGGGGCAGATGCCCACATCCACAGCTGGAAAATTCCAGACCTCAACATGGACCCCTACGATGGCTATGGTGAGGACGCCTCCCCACTCCTTCCCATGTAGGCCACCTCGTGCCCACCTGAGGCACTGAAGCCGGGGTACAGGGTTCCCCATCTGGCTGGAACCAGGAGCAACTTGATTGGGTGTGCAGCTGAGGACAGTGGCACGAGGCAGGGAGATGAGGTGGGAAGGCAGAGCCAGGACGCCGGGGGCAGGGTCCAGCACGTGCCAGGACTGGTCAGCCAGGCAGTCTGTGCTCAGGCTCAGCAGGTCTTTTCACGGCTGGCCGGAGGGTTTGTGAAGAGGATGTGGAGAAAGAGACGAGGCGTTAGCTGGGCCAGGCGGTGGGGAACTGGGCTTTCTCTGTGGGAGCCAGGGTTCGGGTGTGAGGTCAGGTAAAGCAATGGCTGCGTCCCAGTAGAATGAGAGCCTGTGGGCCATCCAGATGGGCAGGCAGCCCTGACGTAGCCTATTTTCTCCCTGGGCCGGCCCAGACCCAAGTGTGCTCAGCCATGTCCTAGAGGGCCATGGGGACGCAGTGTGGGGCTTGGCCTTCAGTCCCACCTCCCAGCGCCTGGCTTCCTGCTCTGCCGATGGCACCATCCGCATCTGGGACCCCAGCAGCAGCAGCCCAGCTTGCCTCTGTACCTTCCCCACAACTGGCGGTAAGTGGGGCCTCTGGCACCCACACTGGTGTGGTAGAGCTAGAGGCCTGGAGAGAAGGGGCAGCTCCTGAGAGGGCCCTGGGTAGCCAGGGCAAGATCCGGCTCTTTGGGCAGTCTTCTCCCCTCTGCCCTCAGAGCACGGGATCCCCACCTCAGTGGCCTTCACCAGCATCGAGCCTGCCCACGTCGTGGCTTCCTTCCGCTCTGGCGACACTGTACTGTATGACCTGGAGGCTGGCAGCGCCCTCCTCACACTGGAGTCCCGAGGGAGCAGTGGTAAGGGGTCTGAGGGCTTAGGGACTGAATAGCCTGTAGGGTCCCAGTTCCTCCAGTAGCTCTGGGGACTCAGTTGCCAGTTCGCTCCCCTGTGCCCTCAGGGGCTCTAAGCAGGAAGGAAATAAGATTGAGTGGAGACGAGCCATGCTCCGGCACATACAGGTCTCAGGGGAGGCCAGGGGCAGTGTGTCATGGCCGCCTTGCAGAAAGGACAGAATATTCTACATCCACTGCAGAGGAGGCCCAGGGACCATCTGGTGGAAGCTGCACCAGGGCAGATGGAAGGGAATGGCCTCTTGAGCTTCAGGCACGGGCACCATGGGCAGTGCTGGAGCCCCCTTGCCCGTCCTGTCTCCCCGGTTTTCTCCTCTGCATCCTTCCTTCTCTCTTCTTTCTAGGCCCAAGCCAGATCAACCAGGTGGTGAGTCACCCCAACCAGCCCCTCACCATCACTGCCCATGACGACAGAGGCATCCGCTTCCTGGACAATCGGACAGGTGAGACCTGGCCTCCAGCCGGCCCTCCCCCCCTGTGCTCATGAGGGGTGGGGCGGAGCAGACTCAACCCAGAACCTGGGGTCCACATGGAGCCCCTATATGCCTCTCCAGCCCTCTCGCCTCCCAGGCAAGGCCCGAGGGAAAGGGACCTGCCACCCACCCTCTCTCCCTTCAGGTAAATCCGTGCACTCCATGGTGGCCCACCTGGACGCAGTCACCTGCCTAGCCGTGGACCCCAATGGCGTGTTCCTGATGTCAGGAAGTAAGTTGGGACCTTGTGGCTGCCCCCTCCCCACCAGAGGAGCAAAAGCTGGGCACTGACTCAGGGGCTCCCTGGGCTGGAATCCACATGGGCTGGGAATCACCGGTGGCAGGAGAACTGCTGGTCATGACAGTGGTGACAGACAGCTGTGTGTGTAGAGCCCACTGTAGACACTTCACCTGTGTCACTTTGTTTACTCTTCTGAGTCACCCTCTATGGTGAGTGGTTTTGTCCCCATTTTACAGTTGTGGGCCCTGAGGCTCAGAAGTTTCAGAACTGGATCCTTGGGGGTTTGAACGCTTGCTTCTGCCCTGGTCTCTGGAGGTGGGCACTGTGGCCCAGCATCAGTGGACTGTGGCTGGAGGGCAGGGAACAGAGTTCCCTGGGGCTGACGGGCAAGGCCTGCCTCCCTGCCTCCGACTCCCTTGGCCAGCCTTGGTAGTAGTGTGCTTGTGCCCATGTGCACAGAGTGGGGATGAGGCTGAAGGAGGCCCAGGCCTCTTTCTGTCCCTGCCCAATGATGACAGCAGCAGTCTGTGGACAGTGTGAGGGGACTGTCAGTAAGACTAAACCTGGTGCAGAGTGTCCTCATCCCGGGCTGGGGCCTGCACGAAGGGCTCCACCGGCCAAGCCTTCAAGGTCCCAAGTCTGGCCAGGCTGCCTCTCCAGCCTCCCCAGGAGTCTCCACAGCTGTGACCCTGCCTGGATGGCCCTGTGCCCTCCCTCTCCTTGGGTGCCACCGCCTGGAGCTGTTTCTTTCTTTTTTCTCTTTGATACTGGGGTTGGCACATGTTAGACAAATGTCCCACCACTGGGCTATGTCCCCACCCCTGTCTGCTGTTTTGTTCACACTGCAGTGTCCACAGGGCAGAAAGATTAGCCAGTTTTGTCTTGTGACCCTCCCACTCCTGTCTTGCAGTAGGTGCTCAGTAAACACCCAGTGACTAGATGGATGGTTGATAGGATGGGGACAGGTCCATCCTTTGGACAGAGCCCCCACCAGTCCTACAGCCTTAGGATGAGGCCAGGTGAGGGCCTCCAGGGCCAGGTCTGGGTGAGGAACTTGGTGACAGTCCTCCCACTCCTGCACAGGCCATGACTGCTCCCTGCGCCTGTGGAGCCTGGACAACAAGACGTGTGTGCAGGAGATCACGGCCCACCGTAAGAAGCACGAAGAGGCCATCCATGCTGTCGCCTGTCATCCCAGCAAGGCCCTCATTGCCAGTGCTGGCGCCGATGCCCTGGCCAAGGTCTTCGTATGATGCCACCTGGCCCCGCCCTGGCCACCACACTGGCTGGGGAGTGGGCCTGGCAGGTGGGGCTGAGGTGAGTGGCAGACCCTCTGTGCAGGAGGGGAGGACAGAAGGCTCTGCATCCTCGTCCCCGAGGACCCCACAGCCCTTTGGCCTGGCACTTGAGGTTGTGCTCAGAAAGACTTGAGTAGCCTTTGGGCACACTGAGGCCCAGGGAGGGTCCTAAAGGTGTGGTCAGGTCTCCCTTCCTTCTCTTCTGCAGGTGGCTCCCAGCCTGACTCTGGGGGTCAGAGGTCGGCCTCTCCCTGCCTGCCGTGGAGCCTGGCGGTGCTAACAGCCCTTTCTCCAGGAACACCTGTACCCAGTCTGGGGATGGGCCCCTTTAGGAGTTGCCCCTCGAGGATGGCCTCGGGGTTCTGCCCGTGCCCTGATGCCCACTCCCGGTATCTCCTGCCTTCTTGGGGGCAGCACAGCCAAGTATTCTTGGGGGTCAGTTTTTCTAAGATGCCGGGAGGTACCAGGTGCTCCCTTGAGCCCTGCCCCTCCAGGCCTGGCAGGAGCTGTGCTGGGAGGGGTCTCCAGGGGCCACTCACAGGGCCCCCCTGCTTTTTAGACACTAACCAAGCCTCCCAGGCCATGGACCTGCCTGGGGAAGCAGCGCCTATGGCCCTCCTCTGAGAATGGCCCTTCCAGATCCCCACGTTCCCCTGGAGAGGGATAGCCTTCTCCAAGGGCCTTCTTGAGCCCCTCCTTAAGGTGTTGGAGGGTGGAGTGGGGGCCCCTGGGCCCCCCCATAACTCCCTGTATATCTGTATAAATAAATGGGATTTTAATGGCGCCCCGCCCCGTTATCACTGTGTGATGGTCTGTCGGTCTCCTGGCTACACACTTCACCTCTATTTATTTCACTTTCTTTGTTTGGGTTTCACCCTCTGCCCACACCCTTGATCCCCCTCCAGGTTCCTGTTTATAAGCCCCATCCTCTCTGCCCCTGAACTTGTATGTGAAAACTTGTCTCAATAAACCCTTTGGAGTAAGATGGGTGCCGGTGCCATCTATTGAGGAGGCTGGGGACTTGGGGGAGGAATCACCCCCTCTGCCTGGGTGGGTGGAGCTTGGGGGGAGGTGGAGTTGGATGGGTTGAGGTTTTGTGGTACAGCAGAGGGGTGCTGGCCCGGTGCTTGGGCGGGGTGCTGGTGGAGGGGCGGAAGTAGGGGCACAGAACCGAATCTCCTTGTGCCCCTTCTTTCTGTTCCTGAGTGCACGCTCCCAGGGCAGGACCCTGAGGAGCAGATGTCACAATGTGACAGGTCAGCCGGAGACCCTGGCCACCTAAGCATGTTTGCTGGCTGGTGCTGAGGACTGAGCCTCCTTCCTGGTCCCACTCCACACCTGGGCCCCTGGGGAGCAGGAGGGAAGGGGGTGGACCTGGCAGCCATGCTCGGAGGGTCCTGGAGGACGAGCAGGAACCCAGCCCTCGCCACAGCGCGGAGTCCCTGCCTTCTCAGTGGTTGATGTTCCCTCTGCTGCACTGGGAGCCAGTCCCTTTTCCTGACATTTAACCAGTTCTCACAACCTCAAGTAGGGGCCACCTATTGTCCCCTTGTCAGAGGATGAGGTGGAGGAGGGGTTGCTCCAGGGCTCCAGCACGTCATGGGAGTTTGTATGCAGTCCTATCTCTCCCTGCTTGCTCTGGGACCTCCACCTCCCAGAGCAAGCACCTCCACCTCCAGGTGAGTCCAGCCCCTCTGTAATACGCCTTTGATACCTGTGCCTCTTCAGGCCCTCAGGGCCCAGGAACTCAGGGAGGATGAGGGCCTGTGCTGGCATTTCACAGGTCATCCACCCATCTGGAAAAGGGTTAAGTGGACAGATGAGGAGGCGACACAATCAGGAGCCTGGCTGTGGGCTCCACGTGGCCTCAGCCCCCCTCATCCCTCTGGGCTCCATGCAGCTTCCCCAGGTGGTGGTTTGGGTTTTCGCTCCAGCCTCAGACTTCCTTCCCCACCCCAGCCCCCGGATGTGGTGACAGAATCAACACTGTACCAACCTCAACTGCCCCCAACAGCCCTCTACAAGGAAAGGGGGTTCTGCTTGCAGTCTCCGTCCTGGCAGCCCTGCTGGTGGAGGATCCAGGCCAGGTGGGTGGCCCAACTTTATCAGGGTGCCTCTGCAGCTTAAATTTAGGCCTTGACCTATCTTGGAGGGGGTGATCTTGGACAAGTCACTGCTCTTTGAGACTTCAGCTTCCTGTATGTAAACTGAATGGTAGCTACTATTTGATTATTAGCTAAGGAGGAGAAACCCAAGTCAGAACGGCCCCTGAGGGGGCTGTAGGTGTGTTCAGCGGGCCTGACACACAGTAGGCGCTCAACAGATGCTGGCTGGATCTCTAAGGGAATAAAAAAAACCACCCATAAGCCCCTGAGTGCTTGAGATGCTACCCCTTTTTCTACAAATCACTAGCGAAGGCTACGATTTACCAAACCTTGTTCCAGGCACCTGTATACCATCTCATCAGCCCTCACAAAGACCCTCTACGGTCAGTCCCTATTACAGTCCCATCTAACAATGGGGAGTCCGAGGCTCACAGAGCCCTTAAAATCACATGCATGGCCCTAGGAGATTGTTGGATCTCCAGCCTGAAGCGGTGCAGGTGTGCTGCTCTCCCTCCGGTTCCCCCAGCCCTTGCACGCCACAGTCCTCGGGTCAAAAGGAAGGAAACTGCACCCCCTCTGCACTGCCCTGCAGTCAGCTCCATGTCCCTTGCTCAAGGGCGCTGGGGACAGACCTGCAGCCAGACTCCGCCTCCGTGTTCCCATCTGGGGAAGGGGCGGCGGTGCACCGAAGCACCCCCTCCTCTAGGATGGGGCGCGGCGAAAGCACCGGCAACACTCTGGGAAGTGAGGCCGAGCCCGGAAAGCGGGCCAGACCTGACTGACACCCTGTTTCCGACCCTTTCCCCCGCGGTGGGCGCCGGATGCAGGCCAGCCTTAAAGGACCAATGTCTAACCCCGGCCCCCGCGACCTGAGGCGGGGTTAGGGCGGCTCGGCCTCCCTGTCGGCTCAGGGAACAAAGTCAACTCTGGGGTGGCCTGGGGAGAGGAGTCAATCCGCCCTCCGGCCCTCCATCTACCACTCGGGGCCCCCGCCAGGTTGGGAAGGTCCCGCCCCCAACTCCAAGGCACCGGGCCCGCCCTCCCCTTCCGTCCCCGGCCCCTCGGAAGGTCCCGCCCCCTCCATGACGTCACCGAGCCCCGCGCCGATTGGCTGTCGGCACCATCGCTCGGGACACTTCCTCCTGGGCCGCAGCTGCCGACTTAAACTTGGAGGGGGAAAAGGGCCACCCACGCCGTGCGACCCTCCCTTGCCCCCATCCCCACCCCGCCTCCGGTAACGCCCCCTCCCCTGCGTCCCCCGGCCGAACTTTCTTCTAACTTCCGCGACCTGTGAGCTTCCCTCCTTTCTACCCCGGCCCCTTCTGTCCATCCTTGGGTCCAGCGGACCACTGGGATCCCCTCGACCCCCCGCTCGGACTCCTGCCCTCTACTCCCAGGTGCTGAACCCCTCAGGTTCCTTCTCAGGTTCTCTTCCTAGAGCCCCTGGAACCCGGGATCCCCCGCTCCCCGAACTCCTCTCTTCAAGGGGCCTTTGGATCGCGCTGCCTCTTGATCCCTGTAACCCTGACCTACTAGATGTTCCTTTCTGATTGCTTACAATCTCTTGTTCGCTTGGTCCCCAAACCACTATTTCTCTCTTTCTGATCTTCGTGATCCCTCGATTTCTCGTGTGTGGTCCACCGGAGTCCTTTTCTCTCGTTTCCCAGGATCCTGTCATCCTCGTCTGTCGCTCTCAACCTGCCCGCGTTCTCTGCTCCATCCCTGCGCTCCTACCACAGCTCACGAGATCCGTCGGATCCAGGGCCCGGGTTCCCAGGGCTCTCCCAGCCGGATCCGGGTGGGCGCCGGGCTGGGGGTCCGGCCAGCCCTCATGGCCGCCGCCCCCTCCCATCCCGCCGGGCTCCCGGGTTCTCCCGGGCCGGGTTCTCCTCCACCCCCCGGCGGCTTGGAGCTGCAGTCGCCACAACCTCTGCTGGCCCAGGCTCCCGCCCCGGGCTCCGGGGTCTCCTTCCACATCCAGATCGGTCTGACCCGCGAGTTCGTATTGCTGCCCGCCGCCTCAGAGTTGGCCCATGTGAAGCAGCTGGCCTGTTCCATCGTGGACCAAAAGGTGAGGCTCCCTCTCCAGCTTGTGAAGAGACCCTAGGAGTGGGATACTGTGGCAGAGGCCGCTGGGGCCTGGCCTGCCTCAGGGAGAGTGAGGGGACTTGGGCGACTTGAGGGGTAGACATTGGCTCCCAGTTGAGTTCTCACCCCAACGTTCCAAGGAGGCCCAGAGCAGGGGTGGGGTGCCACAGAGATCTCCCCAAATTGAATCCTTGAATGTTCTTGTTTTCTGCAGTCAGCAGGGAGGAAGGGGGGGTGCCAGCCAGTTGTAGAGTGGGGAGAAAGAGGCAGGTTGGGGAACAGAATGGAGGGACCTCCCCATCCAGGCCCATCCCGGGCCTCCCATTTGGTGGAAACAGTAGAAATTGAAGCCAGGCTGGTGATGGTGATCGGGTGACATGTGTGAGTGTGCTCTGTGCATAAACTGTCAGGGGCAAGTGAGGTCTTAGGGCCCAATTCTTGCCCTCCCCTGGACCTGAGATGACTTGGAGGAGCAGGCACCCCTTATGCACCCCCAGAGACTCTGGGGACCCTAGCACTTCTCCAGATCACACTGCCCCCACCCTACCCTCAGCCCCCTGGGGCACTGGCCCAGGGATCATGGCAAAAGGGAACCCAGTAGATCTGGATAACTAAATCTTAGATTGTTAAAAGAATAGTGGGTTTTCATGTTCAATACCAGGCTGTAAAAATGTTAGATTTGTAATTCAAGTAGTTGGAATATGTGTCCTAAGTAGTTGAACTCTTCTGACATTAAAGTGTTCAAATATTAGAATCCTAAGTTATTGAAATACTAAAACTTTTGAATTTTTGATTCCTAAGTTGTAGGAACCCTAGAATGTTAAAATGTGAGGATTTTGGAATGCTGAGTTGTTGAAATCTTTGATGCTAGATAGTCAAGTATTAGAATCCTAGCCAGGTGTGGCAGTCCATGCCTGTAATCCTAGCAACACAGGATACCCAGGCAGGAGGACTGTAAACTCAAGTTCAGCCTCATCAAATTGTCGAAGTTGTTTCTAAACAACTTAGAAAGACTATCTCAAAATAAAAAATAAAAAGGGCTGGGGATGTAGCTCAGTGATAAGCATCCCTGGGTTCAATCCCCAATACAAAAAAGAAAAAAAAATTAGAATACTAGTTTGTAAGACTCCTAGAAGACAGTGATATTAGACTACTGCTGACCTAAGTTATTGGAATCCTAAAACATATAGTGTTGGAATCTAGAGTATATGAATCTATAATGTGAGCATACTGGAATCCCAAAATATCCAAATTCCAGAATTTTCTCAGACCCCTGGAAATGAATCTCTTGGGCTTCAGAGAAACATCAGGAAGTAGGCCAACTCCCTTATTTAACAGACAAGAAAACTGAAGTTTAGGTTTAGTTTGGTCAGGTGGTCAGGGCCAAAGTGATCCTGGTTCTCTGTGGAAGGAGAATGGACAGGGTTTTGCCTACCAAACCCCCAAATCTAGCAGGCCCAGCTTCCATCCCCTCAACTCAGCCTGCTCCATGGGAAGCCAGGCTGGGACAGAGACAGATATTCCCCTGGGTGAAATCCTTTGTCCAAAAGCTCAAATCCGCAGCCCTCCGCCTCTCCCCCTCCCCAGCTTTATTTTTCTTCCCTCCGGGTCCAGGTGTGGTGGGGCCTCTTCCTTCCTTCTCGATGCCCCACCTGGGCAGTTTCACTTTCTGTTCTACCAGGTTTCATTTCCGGCCCCCCCCCCTTCAAGGTGGGGACTGGACACCTGGGTCCTTTGAGCCTGGGGTGAGAGGCACCCTGTACCTCCAGGATCCTGGATCCCTAGCCCACCTCCCCACCCACTTCCACACTTCTAGATCCCCTCCCAGCGCGCTGTGCTCCAGGGCTGGGCCTGGAGCCAGGTAACAGGGACAATAGATCCAGGAAGGAAGCTGGGGTGGGGGGTGGGTGGCGGATAGAGGAGGGGGTGCTCATTCAGGCCCCCCCTCCAGCTCTGGAAAATTCTAGGTGTCCACCATCCCGGTGCCATTAACCCTCCCACCGGCTGGCCAGTCCAGCCACCAGACTCCCTCCCAGTGCCCCCGCCCAGCACACCTGGGGCCCTGGCATCCTGCCCGGCTCCAGCTGGGGTTGGGAGGGGTCAGGCAGGAAGCCGGGGGCTGCGGGGTCTCAGTTTCCGGGGAAAACCGCCAGCCCCGCTCCGGGACGGCTCTGTAGGCAGCTCTGAGCTTTTCCGTCTCCACCTCCCTCTCCCGCCCCTCAGTTCCCGGAGTGTGGCTTCTACGGCCTTTACGACAAGATCCTGCTCTTCAAACATGACCCCACGTCCGCCAACCTCTTGCAACTGGTGCGCTCTGCCGGGGACATCCAGGAGGGCGACCTGGTGGAGGTGGTACTGTCCGGTGAGAGGCAGTGGCCAACCTAGGGGCGGGGCCTAGGACGGGGGCGGGGCATCTGGAGGAGGCGGGTGTGAGAGGGCGTTGGACTCAGGGGCTTTTTTTTTTTTTTCTTTTTGCCGTGCTGGGAATCACCACGAAAGCCTACCACTGAGCCACACCCCCAGCCCCGGAAATGTGCTTTTTAAAGCCGGAGCCAGTGGTTCTTTTCCTGCTGCTGCAGGTTAGAATCACCTGGGGGGCTTCTGCAGCCTGCCTCTCCCGACTAGATAGATGTATTGAGTTCCCCCCGCTCTGCTAGTGAACCATCCACCCACATGGGCGACTCCCGAACAATGCTGAGACGGAAGAGCTAGACAGCTACTAGCACTGTGTGATTGCATTTATGAAGCACAAAGGCAGACAGATGAAAGCCCGGCTCAGTCACCTGGAGCCATGCGGGAGGCTGAGGCAGGAGGACGCAAATTCAAGGCCAGCCCGAACAACTTGGCAAGATCGTCTCAAAATTAAATTAAATGAAAAGGGCTGGGAATGTGGTGCTGTGGTACCGCACGCCTGGATTCAATCCCCAGTACTGCTCCGGTGGCCACTACAGAGATGTAATAACCCTGGTGTTGGAATTCAGGAGAGTGCAGTCTAAGGGACCAGGGGGTCTAAGGGACTTTTGGGAAACTGCTTTGTATCAGTCAGGATGCTGGTCACATGGTTTGTACCGTGTGAAAATTCGGATATGTGCCATTTCCTGAACATATGTTATACTTGTTACTCTTGACTATCAAGTTGAAAATATTCTGATGCTTGTGCCTCCTCCCACTGAAATGCTCAGTTAAGTCATAGTCTTTTCAAGGTGAATTGAGACCTGGTCATCTGTACTTTTAAAAATCTCCAGGTGATTCTGATGTACAGCCAGAATTTAATTCACTTGACATACCCATTTTATGGGTGGGCAAGTTCTCTGTGGCTTGACAAGTCCTTCCTAAGAGGGGGTTGTCTAAAGCTGGGTGTGGTAGCTGGCACAGGCCTCTAATCCCAAAGACTCTGGAGGCTGAGGCAGGAGGATCACAAGTTCAAGGCCAGCCTCAGCAATTTAGCAAGATCCTAAGCAACTCAGTGAGATCTTGTCTCAAAATAAGAAAGATCTGGGGATGTGGCTCAGTTGCTAAGCACCCCTGGGTTCAATCTCCAGTATCCCCCCCAAAAAAGAATGGGGTGTCTGCTTACTGTCATGCTCAGTAAAATGTGTTAAATGGATGAATGACAATTAGAAGTTTGCATTTACACATTTGGTGAACTCATTCAGGCTTCTAAGTCCTCCTGTAAGCTGGTAGCTCTTCAATATTTATCTTCACCTCCATCTCTCTAAGCCCGAATGCTGCTTATGTATTTGTCCCCTTGACAGTTTTACTTGGCATCTAATACACATCTCAGATATGGCCTGTAAGGAACAGAATTATTTTGTTTTGTTTTTGTTTTGCTGTGGATGGAACCCAGACCCTGGAGCCTGCTGGGCAATTGCTCTACCACTAGAGGAGCCCCACCCCCAGCCAAGACAGAACTCTTTTTTTTTTTTTTTTAAGAGAGAGAGAGAATATTTTTTTTAATATTCACTTTTCAGTTTTTCTTTTTCTTTTTTTTTTTAAAGAGAGAGAGAGAGAGAAATTTTTAATATTTATTTTTTAGTTTTCGGTGGACACAACATCTTTGTTTGTATGTGGTGCTGAGGATCGAACCCGGGCCGCACGCATGCCAGGCGAGCACACCACCGCTTGAGCCACATCCCCAGCCCCAAGACAGAACTCTTGATTTCCCTCTTCTAAGCCTAATCTTCTATACTCTTCTCCACCTTTTTTTTTTTTTAAGTTTTTAATTTTAGTTGTAGAGGGACAAATATAATTATTTTGTTTATTTTTATGTGGTGCTGAGGATTGAACCCCTTGACTCACATGTGAGAGGCATGTGCTCTACTGCTGAGCTGTAACCACAGCCCCTGGTCTTCTCCATCTTGATGAAGGGCATCACCATCACCATTCAGCCAGGTGCCAAGGCCTGAAACCTTCGGGCATCTTGGATCCCTCTCTTTCTCTCACCTGTTCCTGCCATCCTTCAGCTAACCTAATGGTACAGTCTCTAACAGACAGCCTGAACCTGCTCCTTACCACTCCTACTGGTCCTAGCTACTATCACATCCAGCCTGAACTACTATTGTAGCACTTAAGTCAGATCATGATGCTCCACAGCTCAGAATCCTCCCATGGCTCCCCAGTATCCTTAGAATAAAATGTAAACTGATCTGCATGGCTCAAGACCACCTGTGATCTAGCTTCTCCCACTTCTCTGAATTAATCTTTTTGTTTTGTTTTGGTAGCCCCAAGGGTTGAACTTGGAGTGCTCAACCACTGAGCTACATCTTCAGCCCTTTTTATTTATTTATTTAGAAAGTGATTTCTTTTTTTAAAAAAAAATTCTTTTATTTTACTTATTTATTTTTATGTGGTGCTGAGGATTGAACCCAGGGCCTATGCACATGCTAGGTGAGCGTTCTACTGCTGAGCAACAACCGCAGTCCCCACTTTTTATTTTTATCTGAGCTAGGGTCTTGCTAAATTGCCCAGGCTGGCCTTGAACTTTCAATTCTCCCGCTTCATCCTCCCAAGTAGCTGGGATTACAGGTGTGCACCACCATACCTGGCCCCTGATTCATCTCAGCACTGTCCTTCATACTTTCACAGTCCCAATCATGTTTGCCTGTCTTCTGTCTCTTCCACAGACTTCCCTCTTTTTTAAAGCATTTCTCTCTCTCTCTCTCTCTTTTTATATTTCGGACACAATATCTTTATTTTACATTTATATGGTGCTGAGGTTCGAACCCAGGGCCTCATGCATGCTAGGCGAGCGCTCTACCACTGAGCCACCATCCCAGCCCATCCTTCTTACCTCAGGGCCTTTGCAGTTGTGTTCTCTGTGCCCTGATCTTTTTATAGCTAGCTCCTTCTTGTTATTTGGATCTTAGTTTAAATGTCATTTCCTCATGGTAACCTGACTGTCCTTCAGGGTTAGAAGCTTCTCGGTAACATTTGATGTTACTATAGTGATGGGGTCTCACTGTGTTGCCCAGGCAGGCTCCACACTTCTGATTTATTTAGAGCAGTAGGCATTTTCTGAAATTTCCTTATTTGTTTACATGATTATGTTTCTTGTCTGTCTCCCCAAAAGAAAGTCAGTGCCCTGAGAGCACAGTATACATATCTTGTCCATGTCGTTCACCTGAGGGCGTAGATAATCCTTGGCACACAGAAGAGTCCCTTTCTGTTGCATAAGAGCAAGAAAAATAGATTTATATTGGAGTGAAATTTTGCAGAAAAGAAAAGAATAAGACTTTGTCCAAGGATGTAACTCTTAAAATAAGAGCTTGGTGTAGGGAGGTAGCTCAGTCCAGTGCTCTTACCTAGCATGTGCAAGGCCCTGCCTGAGGGTGGGTAATCAAATCAAGTAAGAGCTAACAATTACTGAGCACCTTCTCTCTGCTGGCATTGTTTTAAGGCCTTTTCACTTGTTAATTCATTTAAAGCTTAAAGAAGCTTTGAGGAGATAATGGCTAGATGCTGAGCCTGCTTTCCTAGATACCTGCTTGGCCCAGTCTTGCCTTGATGTCATCTGCTGAAGAGGCCTTCCTCAGCTGCCAATTTAAAATCCTACCTCTTGCACCTTTCTTATCTCTTATCTCTTGGCTTCTTTACTTGTGGGCACTTATTGACTTCAAGCCTATTTTTTATTGTTTAAGAGATGGGGTCTCACTATGTTGCCCAGGCAGGCCCTACACTACTGGGCCCAAGAGATCCTCCTGCCTCAGCCTCCTGGGTAGCTAGGACTCTAGGCATGCTCCACTGTACCTGGTTAATATGTATTTTATTGCTTAAAAATTTCAGTCCCCTCTCTGAGGTGGGCTTGGATTTCTTTTTTACTTTAATATTTATTTTTTTTAGTTGTAGTTGAACACGATACCTTTATTTTATTTATTTATTTGTATGTGGTGTTGAGGATCGAACCCAGAGCCTGACGCATGCTAGGTGAGCACTCTACCACTGAGCCACGACCTCAGCCCCTGGTTTTCCTTTTTAAAGATGAGAAAACTCAGGCAGTTTTCTTTTTCCCTTTTGGTCTCAGACCCTACCCCAGATCAGCTAGATGAGAAACTGAGGTTGCCCTAGGTATTTGTCTTTTTGTTTGGTTGGTATTTTTGATTTTTAATTTTTTTAAGGTACTGGTTATTGAACCCAGGGGTTCAATACTACTGAGCTACACGCCCAGCCCTTTTTATTTTGAGACAGGATCTTGTTACATTGCTGAGGCTGGCTTTGAATTTGCAATCCTCCTGCCTCAACCTCCAGAGTCCTTTCCTATAGGCATGTGTCACCATGTCTGCTTAATTTAAATTTTTTAAATTGTGATAAAATATACATAAAATTTACTTTTTGGAGGGAGAGGGGTGATAACTGGTATTAAACTTTGGGTCTGGCACATGCTAGCAAGCGCTATACTACTGAGCTACATCCCTGGCCCCCCAAATTTACCATTTTAACACTTTTAAGGGTACAGTTCAGTAGTGTTAAGTACATTCACGCTACGGAGTAACTAGTCTCCAGAACTATTTCATCTTGCCAAAATGAAGCTGTCCACACACTAAACAGTTCCCCATGTCCCCTCCTCGCAGCCCTGTTGTAGGTATGTAGGTATTTTGTCCGGTAATGGGGCAGAACATAAGAAATGGAGGGAGGGAGGCGGGGAGGGAGGGACAAATCTTGTCACCGGGAGGCCTAGGGAGAACCTGGGAATGTGAGGCTGGCACAGCTGCGGCGTGCCCTGGCTCTAGCCCAGCCCCTCCTTGCCGCCTGCAGCCTCTGCCACCTTTGAGGACTTCCAGATCCGCCCGCACGCCCTCACGGTGCACTCCTACCGAGCGCCGGCCTTCTGCGACCACTGCGGCGAGATGCTCTTCGGCCTGGTGCGGCAGGGCCTTAAGTGCGACGGTGAGGGACGCGGGGCGGGGCCGGGGCTGGGCCGGGGCTGGGCCGGGGCGGGGCCCTAGATGGGCGGAGCCTACGAGGTGGGACTCGGAGGGCGAGGCCGTGGGGTAGAGCTTGAGAGGAGGGGCGGGGCCTGGAGGTGGGGTCTCAGAGCCAGGAGTACCCGCCCCCGGAGAGAGCTGGAGGGAAAAGTCCTGGGCTGTGGGCAGAGGGCAGGCTTGTATCATTTGGGCCTGAAGCAGGGAAACAGATCCAGTAGGAGATAATATTAAGAGATTTGTCTTGAAGAAATCGGCTTACAGGATTGTGGGGCTGGCGGTGCCTATCGGAATCCTCAGGGCACCCTGTCAGGGAGGGCTGGCGGGAACTGTCCACAGGGAGAAGTCCTTCGTTCCGGAAGTCTCAGCTCAGTTCTTGAACTCTTTCCATTGACTGAATCAGGACCATCAATTAAATAGGCCAATCTGTCTCAGTACTGTCACTCTGTAGACTTCCCCCCCCCCATCTACAAATACCTTCGTGGGAGCACCTAGAGTAGTGCTGGAGCAACGGGGGACGGTAGCTTAGCCAAGCCAAGTTGACAGAGCTGACCGCCACCTGACCTAATTTGCTAGGACTGCTGTAACAGAAGAGCACAGGCTGGGTGGCTTAAATGACAGGGGGCTTAGGGGAGTAATGTCTTTTGGAGAAGGTTGGGCGGTGTGGGGGAGGGCAGGGCAGCGTGCGGGGGTGATGGAGGAATAAAGCCTCTTAAAGGGGTGACAGGTGGAGGGGGAGCGGGCTCTGTCTCTGACCGTCTGGCGCCCCCCGCAGGCTGCGGGTTGAACTACCACAAGCGCTGCGCCTTCAGCATCCCCAACAACTGCAGTGGGGCCCGCAAGCGGCGCCTCTCGTCCACATCTCTGGCCAGTGGCCATTCAGTGCGCCTCGGCAGTTCCGAGTCCCTGCCCTGCACCGCTGAGGAGCTGGTGAGGGAGTGGGGAACGGGGAGGGTTGGGGGCTGGGAGGACTAGGGGTATGGGAGCCACGCACTGATGTGGCCTTCCTACTTCGGCCGACCTGTAGAGCCGTAGCACCACAGAACTCCTGCCTCGACGCCCACCCTCGTCCTCCTCTTCTTCTGCCTCATTCTACACTGGCCGACCCATTGAGCTGGATAAAATGCTGCTCTCCAAGGTCAAGGTGCCTCACACCTTCCTCATCCACAGCTACACACGGCCCACTGTTTGCCAGGCCTGCAAGAAACTTCTCAAGGGCCTCTTTCGCCAGGGTCTGCAGTGCAAAGGTTAGCTGGGCCCCGGCCGGGAGGAGCCAGGGCCTAGACCTCCCTCAGGCCCCAGCCTAAGTTGTGGGACAGAAGAATCTCAGTGTTCTGATCCTTTGATCAGCACAGGGCCTGAGAACGGGAGTGCCCTGAATCCTGGAGTTCTGGAAGTTTTGGGATTCTGGAATCCTAGAATCTTGGAAATCTAGATACATAATACATTTGACATTGAATTCCCAAACTAATGAACTTGAGAATTCTAGACTCATAGAAGCTAGAAATAGGATTCAGGAATTTTAGAATCAGAATTTAGCTAAAGTAACCACAGAACTTTAGGCCTTAAGTCTTAGAATGGCTAAGTTATAGATCTTACAGAATATTAGGATTTTAGAATCATGGGATTTGAATAATGGCAGCCTGGAAAAATTATGTTTGAGAGTCTCAGAAGTCTAGAATCATGTAACCTTGGAAGCATTAAATCTTAGAATTTTAGAAATCTAGGTGCTAGAATGTTTGCATCATTGAATTCTAGAATCTTAGATGTACAGAACCTCAAAATCATCAGATTATGAAGGTGCAGAAGTCTAGAACTGTAGTATTACCAAATTTAGAGTTTAAATATGAATAATTCTAATCACTTGGACTTTAAGAAATTTTAGAAGTCTAGAATCACAGAAGTGTAGATTCATAGATTTGTAGCATTCTAAAAAGTTGGATGCCAAACTCTGGAGCCTTAGAAATCCAGAATCACACACTAAAAACTGGGATTTCAGTAAACTCTAGAATCTTTATTATATAATGTTCTAGAATCTGGAATCCTCAAACTCAAAGCAGTGGTTCTCCACCATGGGCAATTTTGTCCTCAGGGGATGCTTGGCAATGGAGACATTTTCTTTCTTTCTTTCTTTCTTTCTTTTTTTTAAGAGAGAGGAACAGAGAGAGAGAGAGAATTTTAATATTTATTTTTTAGTTTTTGGCAGACACCACATCTTTGTTTCTATGTGGTGCTGAGGATCGAACCCGGGCCGCACGCATGCCAGGCGAGCGTGCTACCACTTGAGCCACATCCCCAGCCCCTGGAGACATTTTCATACGAGGATCATGCCAGTGTCTTTCAGTGGGTGGAGATCAGGGAGGCTGCTAAATATCCTGTACTAGGCTGGGGTTGTGGCTCAATGGCAGAGCGCTTGCCTCACACACATGAGGCACTGGGTTCAATCCTCAGCACCACATAAAAATAAATAAACAAAGTAAAGATATTGTGCCCATGTATAACTTTTAAAAAATTAAAAAAAATATATCCTGTACTCACAAAGCAGATCCACACAAAAAATGAATTACCCAGCCCAAAATGTTAATAGTGTCAAAGATAGAGAAACTCATCCCTGCCTGCAGGGATTCAAAGCTCAGAGTCATAGGATGTTAGAGTCCCCCACATCCTAAGATTTGAGGAGTCTAAGTTAATGGAAACCTTTAACTGTATCCCCTTGGATCCGTAGTCTTAGGGCTTTTGTGTCTCCCCCTTAATCCAGTCTCCCCGTTGTTGGGGGAAGCCATGGCTCAAAGCAGGGAATGGCTGGATCCACACAGCAAGAACAGACTCCTCTGAGCCTGGGGGTTGAGTGAAGGTTCAGTCCTAAGGTTCTCTCCTCCCCCTTCTACCTGTCCCTGTTCCCTGTCCTCCTCCCAGACTGCAAGTTTAATTGTCACAAACGCTGTGCTACCCGGGTCCCTAATGACTGTCTGGGGGAGGCGCTCATCAATGGAGGTAAGAGGCTAGGGTCCCTGGGAGGGAAGGGGGCTGGGGCAGGGCTGGGTGGAGCCCGGTCTAATGCCCTGTCCTCCCAGATGTGCCAATGGAGGAGGCCACAGATTTCAGTGAGGCTGATAAGAACGCCCTCGTGGACGAGGCCGACGACTCCGGTGTCATCCCTGGCTCCCACTCAGAGAATGCCCTCCATGCCAGCGAGGAGGAGGAAGGCGAGGGAGACAAAGCCCAGAGGTACCCATGGATCCCCCTAGAGGTCCTTCCCCACTGCAAACCTCACATGTCTCCATCTTCACAATGGGCTGACATCACCTTGATTTAAATTTTCCCAGTTCCTGAGGCAAACTTTTTTTTTTTTTTTTTTTTTAGTTGTAGATGGACACAACACTCCTGTTTATTTACCTTTTTAAGACGTGCTGAGGATCAAGCCCAGCGCCCCACACATGCTAGGCAAACACTCTACCACTGAGCCCCAGCCCCAGCCCCCTGAGGCACACATTTTAAAGCACCAAAACTTTAAGGTTAACCTTTTTTTCTTGATGGACATTTTTTCAAAAGTTTTAATAGAAGTATATTTTAACTTACTTTGCTTTTTTGGATCTGGAAATTCAGTCACTCAAAAGGTATATAATGAGGGCTGGGGTTGTGGCGTGGTGGTAGAGCACTTGCTTAGCACGTCTCACGTGAGGCACTGGGTTCGATTCTCCGCACCACATATAAATAAATAAGGATCCATTGACAACTAAACAATATTAAAAAAAAAAAAACAACGGTATATAATGAAACCCTTCACATTCTTTGACTCCCAGCTACCCAGTTTCTCTCCCTGGAGGAAGCCATGGAATCAAGTTTCTTGTGGCTCCTTCCAGAAAGTTTGTATTGCATTCTGACAGTATGTAGAGTAAGAACATGTGCTGGGTGTGGTAGTGCATACCAGTAATCCCAGCAACACAGGAGGATTGCAAGTTCAAGGCCAGCCTGGGCAACTTAGTGATAACTCTGTAAATAAAAATAAAAAGGACCGAGGGTGTAGCTCAGTCGTAGTGCACTCCTGGGCTTAATTCCCACTAGTGGGGGGAAAAAAAAAAGAATTTGTTCTCAGACCTCAGACTAAATCCCTCCTGAGAGGATCATTATCCCCATTTCCAGGTTAGAAGATCGAGGCTCAGGGGCCTTGGCCAGTGATTATTAAGGGAGAGAAGCTGAGGCTTCCCCCAGAGGACCAGGGCAGCATGAACTCAGGGGAGGCAGCAGGCAGCTTCCACAGGTGCCTCAATAACTCTTTAATGACCTGCTGGGACCCACCTCTAAGCAGAGAGATGTGAATAGAACAGGGAGCACTCTGTTCGCGTGGCCTGGAGACAGCTAGTAAATACGGTCATCCAGAGCACTGGGAACAGCAACTCCTGCAAGGAAAGATAAAGCACTGAGGGACTGGGGACCTGGCCCTGGGGGAACCCACTTGCTTAGCTTGGGCCAGGCCCTGGGCTTGATCCCTGTGCTGCAATAAATAAATAAAGCAACAAGAAGTGGCGGAGAATAGGGATGTGCCGTTTTAGTTAGGGTACTAGAGGAGGCCTGTCTGGAGAGGTGACACATGGAAAGAGGGATGGCAGGGGAGGCCCTGGGGAGGAAGCCTGGGAGCAAAGCCTTCCAGACAGAGGCAGCAGCTAGCGTGCAGAGGCCTAAGGTGGGACCAAGCAATTCCAGGAACTGCAAGGAGTCCCTGTGCATGGAGCGGGAGGGCGAGGGGAGCGGGTGGGATGTGAGGTCAGAGAGGGGTTGGGTCACAAGGATCCAGAAAGTTCCATGCTGTGCCCCAAACTCTCTTTCTCCCTGGTATTCCCTGGGGGCCTCTAGTAACACAAAAATGGGCTGTCAAAGCCCGACCTTCAGAGACTTGGGATGGGGGTCAGGGTGAGGAAGCTGAATCTCAGAGAGGAAATGAGAAGTGCCACCCAGGGTCCTGAACAAGCCACCCAGGGTCCTGTCAGTCCTGGAACTGCGCAGTCGCTTCATCTCTAGACCTGCCTCTCCTCACTGCAACAGTGCATCCACAGAGGAGGAAACCGAGGCACAAAGCAGTTGAGACAGTTGCCCAATGTCACAGAGCTGGCTTCACCACTGCTGGGCTAAGTACTAATGAACACTTAATGGATGGAGGTCCCTGTGCTAAGCTCCGTAGAAAGGTGTCCACTTCTCATAGCAAGCCCGTGACAGGGGAAGCTGAGGTACCAAGGAATTTAGGGAATTTTCTAGGCAACCTATCTGTGAACTTCGAAGTGCTGGGAATGGAAGTCAGGACCTGGTGCATGCTAGTCCCGTGCCACTGTCACATCTCCAGCCTGTAACTGGCCTCTTTATGTGTCCCTCTCAAGAGTCCCTTCAGGCCAGGCGCGGTGGTGCATGCCTGTAATCCCAGCAGCTCAGGAGGCTGAGGCAGGAGGATCAAGAGTTCAAAGTCAACCTCAGCAACTCAGCGAGACCCTGTCTCTAAAGACAATATAAAAATGGCTGGCGATGTGGCTCAGTGGTTAAGTGCCCCTAGTCCCCTTCCTCACTGGTAAATCCTGAAAGGTGGCAACCCCTCCCTCCATATCCCTGACTGTCCAGAGGTGCTCCCAGTGGCACCTGGCAGTATGGCCACTTTCCGCCTGTGCCTTCTCACCCCTTCCTCTACCCTCCACAGCTCCCTGGGCTACATCCCGCTGATGAGGGTGGTACAGTCAGTGCGACACACGACCCGTAAATCCAGCACCACGCTGCGTGAGGGTTGGGTGGTTCATTACAGCAACAAGGATACGCTGGTGAGGGGGCGGGGCGGGGTTTGGGGTGGGTCGGATAGTCCGGGTGGGTGGGGCTTAAAGCAGAGCCACAGATTTGGGTTGTAAGGGTGGGGCGAGGCCCAGGGCAGGAGTTAGAGAAGGGATGGGACCTTGGGGAAAGCAGGAGTTAAGGGCGGGACTACAGCTAAAGGGGATGGGTCAGGTGGTGTTGGGCCTCTTCTCGGTTAAGTGGGGGGGGGGGGCGGTGATCAAGTGGGACCAGGTGGGGTGAGACCAGAGAGGTTAAGGGAAGGGGTTGCAGTGGCGGGACCACATAGAAGACAGGCGAGGCGTAGGATGGGGTTGGGGCAGGGAGAGGGGCAGTGGCAGCCAGGCTGGAGGGTGACCTAACCTTAGAGAGGGGCTATGGGCGGGGCTAAGGTGGGTGGAGTTGGAGCTGGGAGGGGCAGGTGGGGCTGGGCCTGGGTTCAGGGACGTGGGTTTTGGTGCAGGTCCAGCTACAATCAGGGTGGGTTAGAGGGAGGATAGAGAACCAGGGGCAAGGTCAGGGCTGGGGCGGGGCCAAGCGAGTTTGGTGGGGAAGGACCGGATTAGAAGAGGAGCTTTAGGTGGCGGGAACCTGGCGGTCAACGTCACCCTCAACATCTCCCCATCAGAGGAAGCGGCACTACTGGCGCCTGGACTGCAAGTGCATTACGCTCTTCCAGAACAACACGACCAACAGATACTACAAGGTGGGTCTTCCGTCTCCCCGCGCCCCCAGACTCCCTTTGCCCGCATCCTTCCTACTCCTCTGACCCTCAGTCACTCCACCGAGGTCTCGCCAATCTCCTGTCCCCGCCGCCGCAGCTTCCCTGCTTCCATCCCATCATAAGTGCTGCCCATTTGGTTCTGGTCCCCCCACTGTCCAGCTGGGCAGCCCAGGGCAAGTTCCTTTACCTCTCTGTGCGTCTCATTTTTCACCTGTAGAATGTCTCACTGGGACTCAGGGCTGCTGCCGTAATCCACGGAAAGCCAATGGCTTAGGGCCTGGCGTGTGTGAAGCTCCCGGGAACCGTCAGCCTGATATCATTACTTTAGAATTTATTTACTTATATTTATTTGTCGTTGTCACCCCCTCCCATGCCAGAACCGTGTTCCGGCTGCCTCTCCACCTGGTGGTCGAGGTTGTCTCCTAGTGGGTCTTTCTTGTGCCCTGGCTGCTAGTCCCTTCCCACTCAGCAGCCAGAGGGGTCTTTTTTAAACAGTCCTAGCTCCCGGTGCCCTTAGAAGGACGCCCAGGCTCCCCGCAGGCACCTGCCATGGACTGGCTCCTCCTCATCCTGCCGGCCTGGCTCAGACCCTGCCCTTGTTCTCTGGGTCCCGCCGCCTGCCTTTCTGCCTACCTGAGCCTTTGGCCTTCTGGCCTTCCTCTTCCTGTCTTCCCTTCTCTCTCAAAGCTTTTCCCACCCCATGATGCCTTATTTTTCTGCTGTCGGGGAGTGAACCCAGGGCGCTTAACCACTGAGCAACATCCCCAGCCCTTTTTAATAATTTTTGAGAAGGACCTGGCTAAGTTGCTTGCAGCCTCCTTAAGTAGGTGAGGCTGGCTTTGAACCTGCAAGCCTGCCTCAGCCTCCCATGGTGCCTTTCCTCCCACCAGCCCTGTTTCCGCCTCCTGTCCCAGCCTCATCCTATCCCACCTACCCTCCATACAGTCACAGGCTGCCTGTCCCCTGCTCAGAGCCCTTCAGAGTCTCCCTAGGGCCTCAGACAAAGTCCAGGCTTCTCTTTGTGGCCCACAAGGCCTTGTATGGCTTCATTTCCTTCATTTATTCATCAACATTTATTAAACACCTAGTGTGTGCCAGGCGCTGTCCCACATGACGGCGTCACTGGAGCACAGCAGGCCTTTCCTGGGGCCTTTGAACGTGCTGTTCCCACCACCCCCTGACAGCTGGCCTCTTCTGCCAGGAGTCTTTCCTGCCACTTTATGCAAACCAGCCCTGTCCCTCGATGCCGGCTCCTGTGTGCCTCTCTGAGTGAGCCCCAGGGCTGCCTGGGGTCCTTACCCGCGCTGGTTCCTTGTCCTGCCAGGAAATTCCGCTGTCAGAAATCCTCACCGTGGAGACTGCCCAGAACTTCAGCCTCGTGCCTCCAGGCACCAACCCACACTGCTTCGAGATTGTCACTGCCAATGCCACCTACTTTGTGGGCGAGACTCCTGGTGGGGCTCCTGGCGGGCCGAGTGGGCAAAGTGCCGAGGCCGCCCGAGGTTGGGAGACAGCCATCCGCCAGGCCCTGATGCCCGTCATCCTCCAGGACGCACCCAGCGCCCCAGGCCACGCACCCCACAGTAAGTCCCCCACCCAGGCCCCCTGAGAGGATGGACCTGGAAGGGCTTGGTAGGACCCCAAGGATGATAGGCAGTGTCAGGGCTCGGAATGTGACTTCTGGGCCCAGGGCTGAGATGTGTGGCCTCGGGCATGTCACCTCCCCTCTTGAGCCTGTGAGAGGTGGCAGTGGCTCCTCATGCATTTCCTGAGGGTCTCCTGCTCAGCATGTGCTTGAGACACGGCCGTGACCAAGACAGCCCAGGACCTGCCGTCCCTCCCAGGGGGGCAGAATACTTGTTCCCAGGCAGCGATGACACAATGAAGGCAGGACTGGGGCAGGGGAACCCGGAGACCAGAGGGGCCCAGAGTGGGTGCCTGACTCCATCTGGATGTCCGCAGGGCTTCCTGGAGGAGGCAGAAAGGGCGAGAAGGGGAAAGCAAAGGGGAATCCCTTTGGACATAACAGAGGGTGGTCACTGTTCCTAAACGACCAGAGTGATGCAGAAGGTCAGCTACAGTAATCTGACGTGGACCCCAGAGTGGCATTTGTGCTGAGACTGAAGGATGAGGAGGACTTGGCTGAGTCTGGAGTGACAGAAAGGGCTTTCCTGGCACAAGAACAGCATGTGCAAAGGCCAGGGGGCAGGAGAGCGCTTGCTGAGTGTGAGGTCCAGCAAGGAGGTCAGAGTGCTGGGGGCACACAGTAGCTCAGGGGGCCGAGCTCAGTAGATGAGGGTTGACCATGGTTTCTAAGCCAGTTAAGGGGCCTGGGCTTCCCCATGAAGGGCGATTAGGAAGGAGCAGGATGGGGGTACGGAAGTCAGGGCAGAGTCTGGGGGGCAGAGGTTTGGATGAAGGATGGTGAGCAGGGGCTGTGGGGAGGTGAAGGGGAGAGAGGCTTTCAAACAGTGAAGGACTGGGGCTTTGGAAACGTCTGTCTCTAGGTTTGTAGTAGGGCAAATTCAGGGGAAGTTGCTGGAATCACTTTGGACTTTCCCTCCAAGCCTGTTTTCTTCTCTGTAAAATGGCCTCCCTGGGTAAAATGCTCAGCATGTGGTTTGTGACATCACTTTTTCAGCCCCTCAGAGCATCTCAGGTACTCCTCCCAGTGGCCCATTTCCTAGATGAGGAGACTAAGGTTCAGGGGTGGCCAGGTCACAGTCCTGTGCAAAGATGCTCTTGATTCTAACTTGGGTAGTCTGGCTCCAGAGGCAGTCTTTGGAGGGATGGCTGAAGGCAATCCTGAGCCTGGGGTCCTCTTACCTCTGCTCTCCCCTCACCCCAGGACAAGCATCTCTGAGCATCTCTGTGTCCAACAGCCAAATCCAGGAGAATGTGGTAAGATGCCCGCCCACACCTGATGCCTCCCCTCCCCACACAACCTCCCCGTCTCCTGTCTCCAGGACCCCCCATCTCCATTTCACCCCTGCCCCTCCTGTCCCCACCCTGCAGGACATCGCCACTGTCTACCAGATCTTTCCAGATGAGGTGCTGGGCTCGGGGCAGTTTGGAGTGGTCTATGGAGGTGAGGACACTCCAGAGCTAACCTAGGGGCTGGGCGGGGCCTGTCTGTCTGGGCTCCCTTTCTGATTGGCCACGTGCTCCCCTCCCGTTTTGATTGGCCGAGATTCTGGGCGCTCTTGGTTGTAGGCTTCCATTTTCACAATGGAAAAACTGCCGGGCTTGCCTCCTGCACTCTGATTGGACACGGAGCTCGATCCTTGATTCTCATTGGCTCTAATCTCGTTTCCCGTATTATTTCCCTCCTTGAAGCTTTTTGCCTTGGTTCACTCCACTTTGCTCCCTCCATCCCTCTGTCACGTTGGGGACCCTTCAGAGCCACCCAGATGGTCTTCCATCACCTTTACCCAGCTGCCTGGGTCTCCACGGTTGGGGGTGACAGCAGGGGTGGGGCGTCTCCTGCAGGTGTGGGAGGTCCTGTTGTTCCCTGTCTCTCACCTGTCCTTCCCATTCCTCAGGAAAGCACCGGAAGACGGGCAGGGATGTGGCAGTGAAGGTCATTGACAAATTGCGCTTCCCCACCAAGCAGGAGAGCCAGCTGCGGAATGAAGTGGCCATTCTCCAGGTGACCACCGGGGTCTGTGGAACCAGCTGTGCCCTGCCCCAGAAAGGCCTTTCCTTCCTGCTTCTTCCTTTCAAGGGCAACTTGGCCTAGTCAGGGAGGGCTTCCTGGAGGAGGGAACATGTGTGTTTGAGACTGAGGGGGTGAAGTGTTCGGAGCAGAGGAACCAGGCTGTGTAAAGGCCAGGGTGAGGGGGGCATGAGGTCTCCGGAAGGAGGGGGTGGGAGGAGAGGCCAGGGAGGACGGTGGGGCTAGAGCCAGTGGGCTTTCTCCTGAAGGTACTTGGGAGCCATAGGAAGAATTTTTAGGGCTAGAGGTGTAGCCCAGTGGTAGAAGGCTTGCCTAGCATGTGGGAGGCCTTCGGTGCCATCCCCAGGGTCACACACACACACACACACACACACAGTAATAACTAATAACAACAACAACAAAATAGCCAGACATGATGGTGCACATCTGTAATTCCAGTGACTTGAGGCTGAGGCAGGAGGATCACAAGTTTGAGGCCAGCCTCAGCAACTTAGTGAAAACCCTGTCTCAAAATAAACAGCAAAAAGGCCCCTAGGGGACGTGCCTCCGTTGTAAAGTGTCCTAGCTCCAATTCCTGGGATCAAATAATAATAACATCAGAAATTTTTAAAGAGGATTTTGAGCAAGGGAAGGAAGGATCAGGAGTGGAATTTAGGAAACTCTCTCTAGCCACCATCTGGGGGTGGAAAGGGAGGTGAGGAATCTGGGGCTCAGGGAGGAAGGGACCAGCAGAACTGGGGTTAGGGCGCAGCCACATAACAGAAATGAGAAGACCAAATGGAGCACTAAACAAACCCAGAGACACAGACGCAGAGCTCCCTCCATCTGCCCAGCTCCTCTCCCCTCCTCACCAGCGCCACCCGGGGGCGTCCTTCTTGTTTGCCATTTCTGACCCTCTGGGGTCTGAGTTCAAACCCTGTCCCCTCCCCGACCCCCGCAGAGTCTGCGGCACCCCGGGATCGTGAACCTGGAGTGCATGTTCGAGACGCCCGAGAAGGTGTTCGTGGTGATGGAGAAGCTGCACGGGGACATGCTGGAGATGATCCTCTCCAGCGAGAAGGGCCGGCTGCCCGAGCGCCTCACCAAGTTCCTCATCACCCAGGTGAGCGCGCCCGGCGCCCCCTGGCGAGGCCCTGCTGCCTGCACCCCGGGCCTGGAGGGCGGGGGTGGGAGGTCGGGCCAGGGAGAAGATGAGGCAGGCGCTCTGGTCCCGACTCTCCCCGCCTGGAAAAGTGGGGAAAAAGCCTTTTCTCCCTCTTGTCATTCATTCGATCATTTGTTAAATTCTTGGACAACATGCAGGTCCCATATTGGGCTGTGCTGGGGAAACAGTGGTAAACCCAGACACCTCCAGCCCTAGATGGTGTCACCCAGAGTGGGCAGCGCTGGCACAGGGGAGGTTGATCATGACGATGACGAATTAATGTGGTCACTGACATTTATTGAGCACTCACAGTCAGGCAGCTCTATTACTCATTTAATCTTTAAGAAACTCACGTGGTAGGTGCTATTATGACTCTCATTATTACCATTACTCCTCTTTTCTAGTTGAAAAAACTGAGGCTCAGAGATGTCAAGGGTCACAGAGTCACATAGCATCTGTGGCCCAGGGTCACAGAGCATCTGTGCTTTTTAATTAGTCATGTCAAATCAATTTATTTTGCATGCAGATTATGTATGTGAGCATTTTAATGGGTTTATGTCGTAGCATTGTGTGTTGTTCTGCTCTTTATGCTTTTCACTTTAACAGTAGTTGAGTAAACAGTAGTTGATGTAAATCACCAAATTCCCAGCTGATGGCCACGTAGGTTGTTTTAACTTTTGTGTCTTTATAAAGTACATCCTATACACCCATCACAAACATCATTGTCCTCTGGTGGGAGAATTTCTTTCATTTTCTTTCTTTTTCTTTTTGGTAATGGGGTTGAACCCAGTTGGGGTTAACCACAAAGCCACATCCTCAGCCCTTTTTACTTTTTATTTTGAGACAGGGTCTCACTAAGTTGCTGAGGTTGACTTTGAACTTGTGATTCTCCTGCCTCAGTCTCCCATGTTACTGGGATTACAGGTGCATGCCCACCTGACTTGGTGGGAGAATTTTGATAGAATACATTTCAAGTAGCAGACTTTTTTAATATTTATTTTTTAGTTGAAGTTGGACACAACACCTTTGTTTTATTTATTTATTTATTTAGAGAGAGAATTTTAATATTTATTTTTTTAGTTTTCACCAGACACAACATCTTTGTTTGTATGTGGTACTGAGGATCTAACCCAGGGCCTGGCACACGCTAGGCAAGTGCTCTACTGCTGAGCACAACACCAGCCCCATCAAGTAGTAGAATTCTGAGTCTTGAGAAATGTGTGCTGAAAGTTTTTTTTAAAAAGATGTTCTCTGAAACCTAAAATAACTGGGTTTCATTCTCTAAAATGCTTTTCAATCTTTACTCCCACAAATAGAGTACTATTTTCTTACTTCTTATTGATATTGAATAAAAGTAAATGTTATGTTATATTATAGGTAGAAAAACATTGTTTTTCTAGTTTTTTGGGGGGTGGGTACCAGGGATTGAACCTAGGGGCACCTAACCACTGAGCCACATCCCTAGTCATTTTTATTTTTTTTCTTTTGAGACAGGGCCTCATTCAGTTGCTTACAGACTCTCTAGATTACTGAGGCTGGCTTCGAACCTGCAGTCCTCCCAGAGGCCTCAGTCTCCTGAGCTGCGGGGATTACAGGCATGCACCACCACGCCCAGCCATTTTTCTACATTGTATGGCTTTATTTGGCATTTTTAAAGTTATGGATAAGGTTGAGCATTTTGTCAAGTTGATTGGCTGGTGTTTTTTAATATGCCTATTGCACATTTTTCAGTTGGATTGTTCTTTTGCTTATTGAATTTAAGAGCTCTTTGTATATGAGGGATCTTAGATCTTTGTCACTTACCCTGTTTGATTCTTTGATTACAGTATTTGCTTGCCTGTTCATTTTCTTTGTGGCTTTTGTCATAGAGAGTTTTAACTTTTCAGTGTTAAATGTTCCCTATTGTGGTTTCTGGGTTTCACATCCTTCCTAGAAGGGCCTTCCCATCTGGCTGGGACCCACATTATTCTGAGATATCTTTTTTTGTAGGGGGGCACTGGGGATTGAACCCAGGGGCACTTAACCACTGAGCCACATCCCCACCCATTTTTTGTATTTTATTTAGAGACAGGGTCTTGCGAGTCCCTTAGGGCCTCGCTAAGTTGCTGAGGCTGGCTTTGAACTTCTGATCCTCCTGCCTCAGCCTCCCAAGCCACTGCAATTACAAATGTGCACCAGCCGGCCTGCTGAGACATCTCTTGGTTGCAAAGCACCCTGTGCTGTGCTTGCTTTATCCACCCCAGCACCCTCACTCTCTCCTGCAGGGGCCTGTGTTTATCAGGCTGGTTTGTGGGTGGGACCCGGACCCGGTGAGGCAGGTGCATGGAGACTTGAGGTGGGGAGAGGGAACTGAATGCTTTTGGCAATCTAGGAAGTTTCTTTTTCTGGTCTTCCATTCCTTCCTGTCTTTTTTCCTGCTTTTTCCTCTTTCTCTCTCCCTCCCACAGATTTCTGCTCTCTGGGCTCTGGCCTGCTCCACCCCTCAGGCCTGTGCTAAGTTCTTTATGTCATGAACTTATTTAGGCCTCACACCACCTTCTGAGGTAGGTATCATTGTAACCTGTTTCATAGATAAAGAAACTGAGGTTGAGGGCAGTGCCAGGTTTTCTCCCGAGGTCACACAGCTGCGCAGCTGGCTGGCCACGATAGACCTGGGTCTCTCCAGCTGCCATTCTGTCCTGTTCGCCTTGTTCACTGGGAGACAGGTGAACCACCAGGAAATCTGAAGAGGACAAGTACACAGCCATGTTTCCATCTCAGTCTCAGATGAGAAATGAGTCTGTGACCACAGCCGTGGCTTTCAATATTGCCTTCGGACAGAGTCTCCTAGTGACAGTGTCAGGCTTACATAACTCTGGGCTTCCAGTATATTTGGTATTTGTTTGGTTTACATAGAATCGAGACAAAATCGTAGTGCCCACAGTTCGGTGGCTGCAAAGGGTTACAACCAGTTTTGTTTTGTTTTAATCAGCTCATCTTGCCTTCTTAAACCACTTTAAGGAGCAGAGACAGCTTTGAGAGACACATAAATATTTACCAACAGGCCATTGTAAAGATAATAACAAATAATACCAGCAATGATGCAGCAGGGGCCTTAGCTAAGATTTCAGTTGCAAATGGTCAACTGCAAGTTGAAAACATTAAGTTGAAAATGCCCAAAATGAACAATTCACACTTTTTTTTTTTTTTTTTTGGTACCAGGGATTGAACCCAGGTATACTTAACCACTGAGCCACGTCCCCAGCCCTTTTTATTTTGTGAGAGGACCTTGCTGAGTTGCTGACGCTGGCTTCCAACTTGTGATCCTCCTGCCTCAACCTCCCAACTTGCTAGGATTTTGGCATGCGCCACCATAACCAGCTTTCATGGAACATCTTAAAACATTTCCTCAAGCATAAGGAGATTTCTAGCCAAGCATGGTGGTGTATATCTGTAATCCCAGAGGATTGCAAGCTCAAGGCTAGCCTCAGCCACTTAGTGAGGCCCTGGCTCATAATTTTAAAAAGGACTGGGGATGTTGCTCAGCGCCCCAGGGTTCAGTCCCCAGTACCAAAATTAAATGTGCGAGGGGGGATTTCTGTAGCTCTCCTACAGTGCTTTTCTATACCAGGCTCTCTCTCAAGCACTGGACAGATATCCATTCCTTTAAACTTCACAGGAGCCTCTGGGGTGGGTAGTATTATTACCCCCTTTTTACAGATGAGAAACTGAGACCCATCGAGGTGAAGTCACTTGCCCACAGTCACAGGTCAGTAAGTCCAGAAAAACTGCCAGGTTTTCCACCAGGCAGGCGGCTCCAAAGTCTCCTGCCTCTCAAGAGTTACATTTGGTCTGTAACCCAGCTCACAATTCTGTTGTTTGTAGTTTGTGTTGCTTTCTATTATGGGTTTTTAAAGGATTAAAATAAAGAAAACTTCCACAATAGAACCTTCTTGGAAGCCCCTGTTCTAGTCGTAGCTGGAGCTGTGTAGGCGTTTACCGCATGTCACAGGGTCTCAGTTTCCCCCTAGTCCCCCCCCCCCCCAAGCTCACCTTGCTAGAATTCTGGACCCAACTTTTGCTCTCAGGTGTAAAGGACTCTGGGGTTCTGAGGTTCTTTGGTGTTGGTGACGCCACCCCTGGCCTGGGGGAGGGGTCTTCAGGGCACAGAGCAAGGCTTGGTTGGGGCTGGGAGGCCGGCTGCCCAGGCAGACTCCGGGGCAGGTGCTTTCTCACTGCTCCGTCTCCTCAGATCCTGGTGGCATTGAGACACCTTCACTTCAAGAATATTGTCCACTGTGACTTGAAACCGGAAAACGTGTTGTTGGCATCAGCTGACCCCTTTCCTCAGGTCAGTCATGTCCTCCCCTGATCTGGGGAGGTCCAGTCCATTGGTGGGTGGGGCTGATATAGGTGTAGCTGCTGCTGCAGGATCTTGGAACCCAAGAAGACAACGGCTCAGATAAGGCGGACGCAAGCCTTCTGGGGCTGCGAAGGTTCATGGTGTTGGGGGCCAGGCTTCCTGCTGTCTTGTAGCCTCTCTGTTGGTGCTGGCCTCCCTGGCCCAGGATGGCCTCTCATGTCTTCTTGCTAGGAAAAAGGAGGAAAGGAAAGGTAGAAGAAATGGATGCAGCCCTTTCTTTCAGTAAGGTGGTACTTGGAAGTAGCATCACTTCATCTCATGTCCCATTGGCCAGGACTTGATCACAGGGTCATAGCAGGCTGCAAAGGATCCTGGGAAATGTAGTCTTTATTCTGGGTAGTCATGTGGTCCGCAAAATTCATGATTTTTATGAAGGGAAATAGTTTTTGACAAGTCTCTGGTTAGTAGGTAACAACTCTCTTCTGAGAGGAGCTGGCTTGGGCAGGGTGAGACCATAACAGCTATAACTTATTAAGTACCTACCGTGTGTAAGGGCCTATAGTTATGGGTTCTTATCTGGTCCTTCCACATCCCTGTGGAGTTTGTACTTTGTTGTCTGTGTATTGAAGATCCTGTGCCCAGGGGATGGCCATCTGTGTCAGTATTTGGAGGGGGGTTGCCTCCCCAGGGACATTTAATGTTGTTGGAGACAGTTTTGGTAGTGACAACTGTGGCAGGGGGAGGGTTGCTACTAGCATCTAGGGACACTGCTGAACATCCTACAGTGCATAGGACATTCCTTCACAGTGATGAATTATCTGGCCCTGAATGTCCATAGTGCTGAGCTTGAGAAGCTTGGATTTAGAGCAGTGATTTCCACGAGAAACATAAAACAGGCCAGAGATCGAATTTTGCTTTTGTGTGCTTGTGTGGTGCTGGGGACTGAACCCAGGGTTGCTCTACCATGGAGCACACCCTAGCCCTTTATATTTTTACTTTGACACCGGGTCTTGCCAAGTTCTGAGGCTGGCCCTGAACTTGATCCTCTTGCTTCAGCCTCCCGAGTCACTAGGATTACAGGCGTGCGTCACTGTGGCCAGCACATGAGCAGCACTTTAAACACCTGGTCCTGTTGAGTCCTCAGAAAGCCTGAGAAGAGGCTGCTACACTCATCCCCAACTCAGAGGACAAAAACCAAGGCCTAGAGCGGTTGGGCCCCTGGCCTAAGATCCCCGAGGCCTATTCTGTGCTCGCATGCATGGCGTGTGTTCTTCCATTCGTCCACCCTCTGAGGTGGGGACAGTTGAGATCTCCGTGGTACAGAAGAGATGAGACCCATGCTAGGGGGTGAGGTATGACTTCAGGGAGCATTCATTGAGTGCTGGCTGCATGCTCCTTGAGATGAGGAAACAGAGGGAAAATCACCTGCCCAGGGTCCCTTGGTTAGTGAGCTGGGTCCAAACCTGTGTTTGACTTTCTTTGAAATACCTTGGCTGGTGGTTGGTGGCTTCATCACTCCTCACAGCCTCCCCCGTCCCGCTCCACAGGTGAAGCTGTGTGACTTTGGCTTTGCCCGTATCATTGGAGAGAAATCCTTCCGGCGCTCAGTGGTGGGCACACCTGCCTACCTGGCGCCCGAGGTGCTGCTCAACCAGGGCTACAACCGCTCCCTGGACATGTGGTCGGTGGGTGTGATCATGTATGTCAGCCTCAGTGGCACGTTCCCCTTCAACGAGGATGAGGACATCAATGATCAGATCCAGAACGCTGCATTCATGTACCCAGCCAGCCCCTGGAGCCACATCTCAGCTGGAGGTGAGCGTGGTGGGTTGGCAGGGAGGGGTGGGGGGAGCGTGGCCAAGAACCCCCCCCCCCAATCTCAAGAGTGGAGATCCTGAGGCTGCTGGTGTAGAGGGCTGAGCCTCCTGATGGGGCTGGACCACAGGAGGGGCCATACTGTGATGGTGGAGATGGAAACCAGAGTGCTGGAGACTCGGGTTTAGACTAGGTAATGTGGGTTAGAAAACGAAGCTCCGCCAGACCTTATGGTGCACAACAGTAATCCTAACAGCTCAGGAGGCTGAGGCAGGAGGATTGGGAGTTCAAGGTCAGCCTCAGCAACTTAGCAAGATCCTACCTCTCAATAAAACCTAAGAGGACTGGGGATGTGGCTCAGTGGTAAGCACCGCTGGGTTCAATACCCAGTACAAACAAACAAACAAACAAAACCCATGAAACTCCACAAAAGTGCTTAGATTGATACTGGGAGTCTTGGGGACCAAGTGAGACTTGACTTGGCCTGTCTGGGCTACTGGCGAGGGACTGGACCTGAAGAAGCCAAAGGAATGGGGTGGCCTAGAAAGGGGCAGACCCTCCCAAGGCAGTCACTGGAGCCTGGAATCTGAGACCAATCGTCTGCAACAAGAGGCGACAGGTCACACTGCTCACAGAGTGAAGCCTTGTCCTCTAGGCTTTTCACTGAGGAGAGCTCCTCAGAGGACACCTGACTAACCAACACCCGACTCTCAACCGTCCTCCTCTCCACTAAGATCGGGCCTCAGCCCCTGCACTCGGCCTGCAGCCGTGACTACGGAATATTTGTTAACATGGTGCGTTTTCATTTTGCTTTTGTGGATATGGCCAGTGATGCTTGGATTTCTACCAACCAGCAAGATGTGAGATTTCCACTTGAAATACATGTTTTTAACCTTAAAAAGTGATTTTTTTTTTTTTTTTTTTGGTGGTGCTGAGAATCAAAGCCAGTGCCTCACATATGTCAAGCAAGTGCTCTACCACTGAGCCACAAGCCCAGCCCCGGTTCACTTTTTAAATTAAATAAATAAATAAATCGAGACTGGGTCTTCCTAGGTTTCCCAGGCTGGTCTTGAACTCCTAAAGGGTCCTCCTGGGGGAAAAACAAAAAAGGATCCTCCTACCTCAGCCTCCCTGGTAGTGGGGACTAGGGGCATATGCCACTGTACCCTGCCCCCTGTTCACATTTTTAAACATAGGAAAAGGTCTGCAGTGAAAATTCTTTCATTCCTCCCTTTTCTGTTCTTTCCGAAGAGAATGGCAATGCCATTAGACACGATGAGATATATGTACGCATATATCACATATATATAATATGTGTCCTATACACATCATATATGGTTTGTCCTCATAACAGATTTTGGTTATAAATAACTTGAGTTAAAGAAAAATATTAAATGGAGACTAGTGCAGTGAGCCTGTATGTACCTATGTGTGACAAAAATTGTGAAGGAGATGTGGAAACGGGGAACTGAGGTAGGGAATTGGTGAAGCCGTGTAGGAACTAGGAGAGACACAAGGAGAGACAATTTCATGATTTAATGAGAAAAATCAGAAACTCCGCAGGTATGTGATGGGAACAGGTAAGGCTCCTGAGCCGCCTGGGCTAGGCAGGTGGGCTGCTGTCCTGTTGGGAGGGAGGCACCGGTCAGCGGGCAGGACTTGAACTCTGTCCTTCTGCGCAGCCATCGACCTCATCAACAACCTGCTGCAGGTGAAGATGCGCAAGCGCTACAGCGTGGACAAGTCTCTCAGCCACCCCTGGCTACAGGTGCCGCGGGGCGGGTGGACACCCCGGGCTGGGGTGGGGGTGGGGGTGTCTAAATCTTATTGGCCGGCCAAGTAGGTAGGTTTTCCCTGGAGGGGGAACTAGCTAGCTCTCCCATTGGCTGGGCTGGGAGAGGGGGTGGGCTGGATGTCTGTTGGCGGGGCAGGTTGCGGAGGGTGGGGTGGCACTCTCCCTGGGTGCAGATGGCACCCCGGCAGGGCAGACCCCGCCGGCGCCGCTCTGGCTCAAACTGGCTGCCCAGGGAGCGGCCCAAGCTAAGCCCAGTTCTCCCGGGCCCAGGAGTACCAGACGTGGCTGGACCTCCGAGAGCTGGAGGGGAAGATGGGCGAGCGGTACATCACACACGAGAGCGACGACGCGCGCTGGGAGCAGTTTGTGGCCCAGCGCCTGCTGCCGGGCCCCGGGCTACCTGCTGACGCGGAGCTCGGTGGCACCCGTTTGCCACAGGACCACGAGATGCAGGGACTGGCCGAGCGCATCAGTGTCCTCTGAGTGTCCCCGCCTGGTTGTCGCCCTCGGGAGCAGCCTTACATACCATTCCAGGAACAAACTGTTCTAGGGGAAGTGGCTTCCTGCCCACACCTATGGGACATGTGCAGGGGGTTGGGGTGGGGAGTTATTCCCAAAGGCCCCCCTCTCCCTCCCCCACTATTAAAATGGACTGGTCTCTGGCCCCATGGCCTTGGTCTCTGGAAGGAGGACTTGGGGAACAGGAGGGGGCCGGGAGGTGGGGAGTTTTGGAAGGAGGACCGGCTGGGGTAGAGCATACAGAGGGGGGAAATGAAGGGGAAGGAGCATGACATGGGGTGGGTAGAGGAGCCTGAGAAAAGCACAGAGCTCTTCCCCTTTGGTAGGGCGACAGCTGATAAAACCACCGTAAGTAAAAAGTGCATTTAATCCACCGACCTTATCAAACATCACAATAGCAACACAGTTCACTGTTGTTCCCCTCGGGATTTCTGGGGTGTTGCCCAAGTCTGTTCTGCATATCATTAGTCTGGGAAAAGAGCAAAATTCAAAAATTTGAATTCTGGTTTCTACTTCTGCACCATGGTAAGAGTTGAAATGTCATAAAACAAACCGTCAGTAGCAGCAGACCATCTGCAATCTCACAGTTTGCCATAATCAATTTCTCATTTGGTGTCACTACCAGTCATGATTATTAACAATGTGATTGGTCTTGTAAGTGGCCCAGACTGGCCTCAAACTTGTGATCCACCTGCCTCAGCCTCCTGAGTAGCTGGGATTAGGGGTGTGCACCACGGGGCCTGGCAGTATTTTGTACTGATGTACTGACTTCTTGACACTCCACATGTACTCATTCACTCATCCACTCATGTGGGTCACTGTGCTGAGTGATACTGGGGACTCAGTGTGACCAAGACAGCCCAGGCCCTGCCCTCATGAAGTTCATTATCCTGTGCTTGGGCTGTGATGATCCAGCAGGGCTGGGCTGGGGAGCAGACTAGGGGCAGGGAGGGAGGTTGTCTGAGCAGACTTTTTAAGCTTGATCTTAGTTCTGAGGTTGTGGGCAGAGCAAATGTCCCAGAAGGAACTTATGTTTTGGTGGGATGGGGGATACTGGGGATTGAACTCAAGGGCGTTTGACCACTGGGCCACATCCCCACTCATTTTTTGTATTTTATTTATTTATTTATTTTTTTAAAGAGAGAGAATTTTAATATTCATTTTGCTTTTTTAGTTTTCAGCGGACACAGCATCTTTGTTTGTATGTGGTGCTGAGGATCGAACCCGGGCCCCACGCGTGCCAGGCGAGCGTGCCACCGCTTGAGCCACATCCCCAGCCCTTTGTATTTTATTTAGAGACAGGGTCTCACTGAGTTGCTTAATGCCTCACTTTTGCCAAGGCTGGCTTTGAACTCGTGATCCTCCTGTCTCAACCTCCTGAGCTGCTGGGATGACAGGCTTGAGCCACCGTGCCTGGCCTTCTGCTTTTGACTTCTGCCGGCTACCTCCCTGACTTTTGGTTCTCTACTCTTCACAGTTGAGAGTGAATAATCTGAGCATGCATATGGATGTGTTCTCTTTAAAACCTGGGCATGCTCAGGCTTACAGAACCTAATTAAAGACTACCTGAGCTCTGTAGAACAGGGGGAAAGTTAGCAGCCAGTTGAAGCTAGGACTGGGACCTGGGGCTCTCCAGCACTTACCAACTTAGAACAACTTGTCCACCTGCTGGTTGGCTCCAGAGCTGCAGCTCTTTAATTTGAAAAAGTGAGCCTCAGTAAATGAGGATTTCCCAAGGGGCGGACACACCTCCGAGAGCAAATACTATGGGGAAAATCTCTTGGATCCATGCCAAGTGCCTGTCCTCTGAAGGACAGATCACACAGAGATGACTCCATCTCCAGTGACAGACCCTGGCCAGAAAGCAGATGGAAAACCATTGCCACCTGGCAATCCCACTCCGACCTTGGCCACCAGTTTTGTTAACATGCTGAGACCAGGAGTTAGAGAGAAAAACGTGTTAACTGTGAAAATGCCTCAATTACAGAACTCCAGAATGTCCAATGTCATGAGGATGCTGTGGCAGGTCAGTCAAATCCACACCGCACAAACTTAGGGTTCTACGACCTAAACCATTAGAGATAAAAGGTCCATTGCACCTGGTGTGGTGGCGCACACCTGTAATCCCAGCGCTCAGGAGGCTGAGGCAGGAGGATCTCAAAACCAACCTCAGGGGGCTGAGGTTGTGGCTCAGTGGTAGAGCACTAGCCCAGCACATGGGAAGCACTGGGTTCTATCCTCAGCACCACATTAAAATAAATAAATAGGGGGGCTGGGGATGTGGCTCAAGCGGTAGAGCGCTCGCCTGGTATGCGTGCGGCCCGGGTTCGATCCTCAGCACCACATACAAACAAAGATGTTGTGTCCGCCAAATAAATAAATAATTAAATATAAAAAAATAAATAAATAAATAGGGGCTGGGGTTGTGACTCAGCAGTGGAGCACTCGCCTAGCACGTGTGAAGCACTGGGTTCAGTCCTCAGCATTCAAAATAAATAAATAAATAAAAGTATTGTGTCCAACTATACACACACACACACACACACAGCAATTTAGGGAGACCCCAATTATTCAGCAAGACCCTGTCTCAAAATAAAATATACAAAAAGGCTAGGGGGGCTGGGGCTGGGGCTCAGTGGCAGAGCACTTGCCTTGCACGTGTGAGGCACCGGGTTTGATCCTCAGCACCACATAAAAATAAACATATCTATTTACAACTAAAAAAAAATTTTAAAAAGGCTGGGGATGTGGCTCAGTGGTAAAGTGCCCCTGGATTCAATCCCTGGTATCCCCCCCTCTGCCAAAAAACAAACAAACCCATTGCATCAGGGCCGTCAGTCACCACAGAAGGTATTCTTGATAGGGACACTTGTAGGTACTACAAAGAAAAGGGACATTAAACCTGAGACTGTGCAGGTTAAAAATGCAAAAATTGATTCAAGTTGAAGATTCAGTCTCCCAAATGACGTTTCCAAGCAGATGTTGTCCTGTGTGTTCACAAATGCCCCTCAAGTCACAGGAGGATGTGGTCACCATCCCATTGCCAAGGTTTTAGCAGACAGGGCTGTCACCCCCACACCTATACAACAATCATCCATGACAAGGCCACGTGTGTCACGTGGTTCATGCTCATCTAAGCCACTCTCGGGCTTGGACCCCTTATTACCTAGCATAGTTTTTTAGACTAGACCAATAAATACTGTAGGAAGGGATGTTCTCTCAGTCTGGAAAGCTAGCGTTTCATGTTCATGAGCGTCTCTCAGACCCAGCCTCTGCCCCTAACCATTTCCATCCTAATGTTACTCAGGACCCATAACCTCCCTCAGACCCACATATTCAGTGTCTGCTGACCAATACTCCTGGTTCTCTTGGGGCTGCCAACCCAGCAATCATGGGTGCATCAGGGAGTCCAAACTGCTAAAGGGGGAAGTAGTTTCTTTGGTTTGTTTGTTTTTGTACTGAGGGTTGAACCCAGGGAGGCTTTACCACTGAGCTGCATCCCCAGTCCCTGCTTTTTAATGTATTTAACTTAGAAACAGGGTCTTGCTAAGTTGCTGAGGCTGGCTTTGAACTTGTGATCCTCCTGCCTCAGCCTTCCTAGACACTGGGATGACAAACATGCACCACTGCACTCAGCCCCTTTTTATTTTTTGAGACTAGGTCTTGCTAAGTTGCTCAAGCCTTGCTAAATTGCTGAGTACTGCCCTCAAAGTTGCAATCCTCCTGCCTCAGCCTCCCGAGTCATTGGGATTCCAGGCATGCACCCACACAATGGTGAAATAGATCCTTTTATGTCCCTCCTGAAACCGCCTTCATACTCACCCAGAGGCCCACTGGGACCTCCAGCCCATCATTCAGAGCCTCATAATGTCCACCCCTGCCCCTGCCACATCCTGTCCATCATGAATTTCAAAGGTAAAGGGTACTGGCTGGTCGGAGACCTCTGGGCTGTAAAAGAAATTGTCAAACATAGGTTCCTCCCGGTCAGCAATCCAAAGGCCACCCTGTTCTACCTCCCAACACACCCACTCCAGTTTTCTTTCACACACCCTTGCTTCACGGTGGTTCTCAACCTTTTTTGCTTCCCCCAGAAAGTCACCAATAAACGTGGAGAGCAATGCCTCAGTGTCTCCTTGGAACATCTACTTTTACCCTGAATGATAATTTGAGAGATTTTGTTTTCCCTTGCAATTCCACTCCCATCCAATGGTGAATTGTGCTCAATCTATTTCAACAGCTCCCTCACTGACACCTGGTACCTGCCCCAAGTCCTGGCTTATAAAGGACACAAGGGGTCTAAAGGCTGATTCCAATGACACAACTCATGAGAACACTATTTGGGACATGAACTTGCCCAGGATGGTAAAACCTTATAGAAAGCATTTACTCCATTTTCTTTTATCCAAGACTAAAAGGCAATTCAGATAAATTCTGAGCCTGTCATGGGTTAAATTTTGCACCCCCAATTAATGGGGGGTATGCTGAAGTCCTCTCTTCCAGGACCTCTGAATGTCGCCTTATTTGGAAATAGAGTTGTTGCTGATTGCTTAGTTAAAATTAGGTCATTCTGGAGTAGGGTCTCTAATCCACCACGGCTGGTGTGCTTATAAGAAGGTGGCCATGAGCCTGGAGCAGTGGGGCTCGCCTGGAATCCCAGCTACTTGGGAGTCTGAGTCAGGAGGATCAAAAGTTTAAGGCCATCCACAGCAATTTAGCAAGGCCCTCTCTCTAAAAAAAAAAAAGTCCTGGGTACGTGCCTCAATGGTTAAGTGCCTTGGGTTCAACCCTTGGTACAAGAAGAAAAGGAAAAAAAAAAAGTGGCCAAGGATGTTTCAGGCAGAAACTGGAGGAAGGCTGCAGAAAGTAGGGAGAGGCAAGGAAGGACTCCCCAGTTGGTCGTAGAGGGACAAGGCCTTGCGACTTCTAGCATCTGGAACAGTTTTAAGCCACTTCATTTGTGGATTGAACCCAGGAGACCTTGACCATGAGCTCTATTCCCCTTTTTCACTAAAAAAAAAAAAAAAGAAAAAGAAAAATGTTGAGACCGGGTGCGGTGAACTTGCTAAGGCTGGCCTCAAACTTGCCATCCTCCTGCCTCAGCTTCCTGAGCAGCTGGGACTACAGGAATGTGCCACTGCTCCCGGC